AGGGCGTCGTGGTGGCTGGACTACAACTGCTGATGCTTCCTGCTTCACCTACGACATCGGTCGTCACAGAATCCGGCCGAAGTCGTCGCTTGGAGGGGTTTAAGACATTATTGTATGCAGGGGGTAGAGGTACAGTGATCTGGGATCGTGGGGGAATGTGCATACGAGCAGCAACAGACTCGTAGATCCCATACCAGTGATGATTAGACTTGCTAGTGCTCTGTAGCAGTCGATGGGAACGGGGAAATTCGTGTCAGTGTTAAGGCAATTTCCCGTGTTTGTACTACGGTCAGGAACTACCGCCGCCTACGCCACCCGGAGCGAGCCAGCCACCTATAGCGGGGTGCCTGATGTATGGGAATGGTGTGTAAAGCCGGCAGTGTGAATGAGTAAGTACCTATGTGTGTATTTCGGTGATTAGTAGTCTCTAAAGCTTGAATTCGAGGTCAAGTGTTCCGTCACATTGTCACGCAGCACCTGTTCAGGTGGAGTGAATTGTGGGCGAGGAGATTAATCACCTGTGTTGTCATCTTGTCAGTCCAGAGGGACTTAAGGTCTGGTGTACACAGACGTACAGTGTGTGTGTGTGTGTGGGTACACACGGGAACACAGAATATACATAGATTAGCCAAGGACTGAGAAGGTGTCCATGTAATAAATTCTTTTATTTCATTGTGGTAATCATTTTTGATCGTCCGTGGGACGGAGTGATATCATTTCCATGTGTGGTCTTGCAGGTGTGGAATTCCAACACTGAGCGCTCAGGTATGTGTAACGCCAGTGATTCCTGGCAATGATTATTGTGGAGTGTGCCACAGTGTGGCTTAAATTTCTTGTAGTGTTCCCAGGGCCGTGACAAGTGTGATTTATATAAATATATATATTGTGGTTGCAGTATTAATTAACGTAATTTTGGTGAGGTTTGGTGAGTGACGAGGCCGTCTAGAGAGACCGCCCCCGCTCTGTCGAGTAACGTAACTCTCGAGTGTTTATCGGCATGCGTGACCGATAAATCACTCACCCATGTGATTTAAGGAGTGTGAGATTCTCCTTAGTGTTCCCAGTAACGTTTGATAGCTGTAGGCTACATGTGTCAGCGGTAATTATATATATATATATATAATCGTAGTGTCACGGTGCCCAGTGTTAATGTGTTATTTACTGTGTGGTGATTGCAATATATTGACCTATGTTCTAGGGGTCATTTGCAGCAGTAAGTAAGTAAGTGTGTGCAGTATCCTAATATTTGGAAATTAGAGTACTTGCCGTGTGTGTTATTGCAAAGGGGGTTGTTATTTGATGGTGATTGTTGCTAGTGTTGAGCAATCACCGTATGTGATTGCAGTTCAGTAAAACCATTGTGGGGCAGGGTTCTAGAGGGTTCATGTCCTGTAGGTTATTTTACTAGGTTCTGCAGTATTGTCATAGCAACCGGATTGTAACGTAAATCACTGTGATTTGTTAGTGTGATTTGTCATTGTCGTGGGTGAACTCGGCTGTAGACGAGTACTTGGATATACATATATTCTCCTGGTTATCTGGTAGGACATCGAAGTCCAGTATTCAGTGAGGTGATTGCGAGGCAATTAATATAACGTAACCAAGGGAACGCCCATTGCTTTAAGAGAATTTGTTCTTTGACAATTTGAGTAACGTAGAATGCGTTTGGGTTAATTTACTTTCCTGTAAGCAGCTACGGTAGTCTCGAGGAGCCTAGCCATCAGCCAGATAAGAATTAGAGTATTGTCTGTCGTAATTAACGGTCAGTGGGCCGGGTAATTGACGTGTTTCAGGAAGTCAAAGTAATTAATCTCGATCCTTGTTTGATCGACTCACACGAAGGCTACATTGTTCCATTAACGTAACGTCGTTATCTGCCCGGAAGTACCGGCACTTGATTGACTCGTGAGAGGAGTAACGTCATTTAGAATAACGTAAACGTGGGGCTAATTACTGTTATTAGTCGCCTGAATTGGTCTGAGTATGGAAGGCTTAGACGGAATTCGTACCTTAATGTAAATTGCTGAGCCAGTGTGAAAGGTTGCGTATTTTAATTGTTTAATTATTGATCTTGAGGATAGTAATTAATTACTCTAAAGGTAATCACGAGTGATTACCGTTCTCTTAGCACTTTGGACATTGCAAATCAGAGTTTACCATCGCTGAGTGATTAGTAACCGATTAACGTAAATTAACGTAACTAGTAGAGATTAATCAGCTGTCTGGAAGTACAGGGATTAATGGGATTTTCTCACTGAATGCTCGACGGGTAGAGTGTTGTTTGATTTCCGCGTTACTAGTGACAGTTGTAAGAGTTGTTAATTTAACGTAAATGTTACCTTGTTATTAACGTAAATGTTATTGTGTTATTAACGTAAATCAATTGTTATTGATTGTTGATCGTCCGTGGGACGGAGTGTTAACGTAAGGATTAATTTGAGGAAGGGTGCTGGAGTTGCCAGTGAACCCATTAGTTATTGTTGTCATTGAAAGACTACTGATTTGATTGCATTGCAACCGCTGTTGCAGGAGTAGACTGCACTGAGGCGTAGAACAGTTAGGAGGTTACTGGAGACGTATTTCAGAACCTACTGTGTCATTTGTTGTAATTGTGATTATAGATCTGTTAGTTCTTGCTTGCTTGTTGATTCCTCTGTGGTCACGCTTATGTTCGAGTTAGTTCATTATGCAGTCCGAGGGGCTGGTGTCTAGCTGTCATTGATAGTGTCACAGGAAGGATTTCGAGTAACGTCATTGACATTTCTTTTGTTTTGTTGTAGTAGTTAGTACTTTATTGAATAAACTAAGTTGTTATGGTTAACACTGTCTTTTCGTTACACCCCCACACATTATTATTGTTATGCAAATGTTCTTCACACTCGACTAACATTGAGACTAATTTTCTGAGCTTTGGATCAAATATACGGCACCACACAACAATAAATTATTGTTGTGAGAGCCCGTGACCTACTCGTTAGATTCGCTTCGGCGATTGGCGAAGGTCGGCGGCCTAAGTGGGGGGGATTTCAATTTTCATTGGGGTCTCGGCGTTTGCTCGCGCCTAGTCAATTGTTCATACATGGTCCCAAAGTGAGGAATGAGCTGGTTACTACACTGGTGTGTTAGCTAAGCAAGTCCTTCCTCAGGCGACCTAGTTGAATATCACGACAGGAATAAAGGTTAAAGAATAAAGAAAGTTCTTAGAAATTTTCCGAGCTAAAATTCCTTATACCAATTTTAATTTATTCCAAAACTTCTCACACAAGGCCCGATTTGCCTAATAAGCCAAGTTTTCATGAATTAATGTTTTTTCGTCTACCTAACCTACCTAACCTAACCTAACCTAGCTTTTTTTGGCTACCTAACCTAACCTTACATATAAATATAGGTTAGGTTAGGTTAGGTAGGGTTGGTTAGGTTCGGTCATATATCTACGTTAATTTTAACTCCAATAAAAAAAAATTGACCTCATACATAGAGAAAAGGGGTGCTTTATCACTTCATAAGAAAAAAATTATAGTAAATATATTAATTCAGGAAAACTTGGCTTATTAGGCAAATCGGGCCTTGAATAGTAGGCTGAGAAGTGAGTTCTGGCTACTAGGTACGACATATATATATATATATATATATATATATATATATATATATGTCGTACCTAGTAGCCAGAACGCACTTCTCAGCCTACTATGCAAGGCCCGATTTGCCTATTAAGCCAAGTTTTCCTGAATTAATATATTTTCTCTAATTTTTTTGTTATGAAATGATAAAGCTACCCATTTCATTATATATGAGGTCAATTTTTTTTATTGGAGTTAAAATTAACGTAGATATATGACCGAACCTAACCAACCCTACCTAACCTAACCTAACCTATCTTTATAGGTTACGTTAGGTTAGGTAGCCGAAAAAGTTAGGTTAGGTTAGGTTAGGTAGGTTAGGTAGTCGAAAAACAATTATTTCATGAAAACTTGGCTTATTATTCAAATCGGGCCTTGCATAGTAGGCTGAGAAGTACGTTCTGGCTACTAGGTACGACATATATATATATATATATATATATATGTCGTACCTAGTAGCCAGAACTCACTTCTCAGCCTACTATTCAAGGCCCGATTTGCCTAATAAGCCAAGTTTTCCTGAATTAATATATTTACTATAATTTTTTTCTTATGAAATGATAAAGCAACCCTTTTCTCTATGTATGAGGTCAATTTTTTTATTTGAGTTAAAATTAACGTAGATATATGACCGAACCTAACCAACCCTACCTAACCTAACCTAACCAATATTTATAGGTAAGGTTAGGTTAGGTAGCCAAAAAAAGCTAGGTTAGGTTAGGTTAGGTAGGTTAGGTAGACAAAAAAACATTAATTCATGAAAACTTGGCTTATTAGGCAAATCGGGCCTTGAATAGTAGGCTGAGAAGTGCGTTCTGGCTATTAGGTACGACATATATATATATATATATATATATATATATATATATATATATATATATATATATATATATATATATATATATATACAAATTACTTTGAAATCCCAATTTGTATTAAATTTTGGGAGAAACAATAAGCCATTATTATAATTTTTTATTATATTTTTTTACCACTACCAGACAAGAGAGAGATTGGATTACAAGGAGCCGTGAGATGATTGATCCTGAGCTGTGTCTTTCTTTACCAACGTGATCACCTGAAGCTGGCAAGCATGAGGGGCCTCCACCCACAAATATATACGTTGGAAAGCGACTATAAGCCATTATGTTTGGGTTTTGCGAAGTGCCGGTGGTGTGGTGTGAGGTGGGGGTTGTGGGTGTGGGGTGGAGGGGGGTGTGACTCCTTGTTGGAGGGGGGGAAGGGGGGGGGGTTGGGGGGTCGCTGGGGCCGCCGCCAGGAGAGGGTGTAATACGAGTGTAAACGAAAAAAAAAAGGTTGACAGGCTTAGTATTTTGCATCATGTAAAAATAGTTTGAAATAAAAGGCGGGGGTTGGCTGGGAGCGCTTCCACTGGGTGTGGGTGCTCCAGTCTCTTCACATTCACGCCACCAGCAGCAGCAGCTGTCTGCAGCCCCTCTGTCTAACCCCCCTGAAAATTTTTCGATCTCTGTCTCGTGTTCGTAACTTGTCTGTCGGCCACCCGTCTCAACACTTGCAGTCATGGTGAGTCGGCCGCTCCTGTCCAATCATATACCTGGTCTGCAGACGAGGAGTCACAATAACGTGGCTGAAATATGTTGACCAGACCATACACTAGAAAGTGAAGGGACGACGACGTTTCGGTTCGTCCTGGACCATTCTCAAGTCGATTGTGTATGGTCCTGGACGGACCGAAACGTCGTCGTCCCTTCACTTTCTAGTGTGTGGTTTGGTCAACATCTACCTGGTCTGTAGCTTATAACCAGAGTGGAGAACCCCTATCATGACTGGATGTACTCGTGCTGTGGTCCCACGTGAAGTGAAAACCTGTTTCAGGCTTTTCCTGCTTTAGGAAAAGTGAGAGTAGTGTGTAGTGAGTGAGTAGTAAGGAGAGAGTAATGAATAAGAGGTGAAATGAGTGTTGAGTAAGTGAAGGACAACCCAATATTCACCGCTGGTTTCTCCTAATTGTGTGGCCCTACATCTCATCCACCAGCAGTGTCCTCACACCTCACCATCCACCAACAGTGGCCTACACCTCTCCAATCAACTGCAGTGACAACCTTCACAATAACAGTGCCAGCAGGAAGAGCACATCGCAATAAGAGCCCCCTCATGCAATCCCCTGCAATTGCATGGGGATCTAAGTCACATTTAGGCTCGCTGAAACGCTTACCACAGAACTTTGCTGCAGATCAGTCCACCAAAACAGCAAATCGAACAGAGCGCTCACGTCAAAAAACTATGCCATTGACGGTTACTACCTTGAGGTTACCTTGAGGTGCTTCCGGGGCTTAGCGTCCCCGCGGCCCGGTCGTCGACCAGGCCGCCTGGTTGCTGGACTGATCAACCAGGCTGTTGGACGCGGCTGCTCGCAGCCTGACGTATGAGTCACAGCCTGGTTGATCATACTAAGCAACAAGAATTGTTTTGTTTGGAGTGTAGTCGTTCGTTTCCAAGCTCCTGGGACCCGACCATCAGGAAATGTGATATTAGATGGATAGCAGCAATCCAAGTGGAAATCTTATGTCATATCCTTCCCTAATCCTGGCCAGCCACCCTGGCTCACTTATGTATGTAGTTAATGAAAAAAAATAGGTTTTCTATATATAGAAAACCTAAATTTAAAGTTTTATAAACTGACACATCTAAAAAATGGCACAGAATTATTGTTAAATATCCATTATGAGTTTAATAGAAAAGGCGAAATATTTCATTTCTAATAGAAACATTGTCCAGATTTACATTTTTGAATAGAACATAAATTCACAATTCTATTCACAATTACGTGAATAGATCATAAAACTATGTAGAGTGGCATCAAATTGTTCGCATATTCAATCCTTGTCTATATTACCCCCGTCCTCCTATAATTACACATAGATTATGCAACCTGGGTTGAGCAGGGTTCAGGTACTCTGTTTATGAGAGACGTTGAGGAGGCTTCATATAGAGTACATAGCTGGTTGTGGCTGGGTGGCTGACAGTACCCTGGCGGGCCCGCAGCAGGGATGGGGGGAAATAGGAACTCTGCTAAGTTCTTGAGACACTGCTAGAGAGCCCCGGGAAGGGTTGGGGCAAAGACGTGTGGTTGGGTAGATGGGAGAAGTGTGTGTGTGTGTGTGTGTGTGTGTGTGTGTGTGTGTGTGTGTGTGTGTGTGTGTGTGTGTGTGTGTGTGTGTGTGTGTGTGTGTGTGTGTGTGTGTGTGTGTGTGTGTGTGTGTGTGTGTGTGTGTGTGTACTCACCTAGTTGTGTTTGCGGGGGTTGAGCTCTGGCTCTTTGGTCTCGCCTCTCAACCGTCAATCAACAGGTGTTCAGATTCCTGAGCCTATTGGGCTCTATCATATCTACACTTGAAACTGTGTATGGAGTTAGCCTCCGCCACATCACTTCCTAATGCATGTGTGTGTGTGTGTGTGTGTGTGTGTGTGTGTGTGTGTGTGTGTGTGTGTGGTATTGCGACAGAGCGTAGTAGAGGTGGTTTGGTGTGGGGGTACAGTGGAGTGATTTATGGAGAAGAGAGAGATGCCAGCTGGCCAGAGACTAAACAAAGCCTCACAATAACGGCCTTCACACCACAGAATAAAAATATTTCCCCACTCGATCAATTCTTGCAGGGTCGACGTTCAATCCCCGACTATCCAAGTGGTTGGACACCATTCCCTTCCTCTATCCTATCTTAAATCCTGACCCTTCCAAGTGCTATATGGTCGCCATGGCTTAGTGTTTTCTCCTCATAATTACCTTACCTCAAGGTAAATATTTATCCAGCATTTGGAAAATGCTACCTACATCATTATTACCATAGACTGAATTAATGGTACCCACTGCATCACTACATATTGGACAAATACGATATTACAGCATAGCCACATATTGGACAAATGGGACCTACAGCCTCGCCACATATTGGACAAATGGGACCTACAGCCTCGCCACATATTGGACAAATGGGACCTACAGCCTCGCCACATATTGGACAAATGGGGCCTACAGCCTCGCCACATATTGGACAAATGGGACCTACAGCATTGCCAAATATTAAACAAATGAAACCTTCAGCATTACTACATTGGATAAATAGAACATACAGCATCACCTGTGTGGTCGTAAAATCTACAATGGCGAGCTTATGCCCCCGAACTGGTTTCGTCCAAGCATAAAACACACACACACACACACACACACACACACACACACACACACACACACACACACACACACACACACACACACACACACACACACACACACACACACACACACACACACACACACACACACACACACACACACACACACACACACACACAGAAGCCATGCAGCAGAAGCAAATGAAGAGATATAACACGTTCAAGTCTCCCGACAGCGTCCTTCTCTCCCCACCAACTCAGTACATTACAAATATTACCGTGAGGACAAGAACAGTAATCAAATACAGTGAAATAAGCTACTGTTGCTGCTGTGACTGGGTACAGCTGCTGCTGCTGCTGCTGTGACTGGGTACAGCTGCTGCTGTAACTGGTGTAGCTGTGATACTGTTGCTGCTGATGCTGCCTTAATCAACCTATCCTCCAAAAATTATAGAACATATATACCGACTGGGGAGTATTTTTGCACTATTGATTTTTATAGAAGCCCCGAGAAAGCGAGCAAGAACCTAACCTATGCCTACAAAAAACATATATTATATACATATATATATATATATATATATATATATATATATATATATATATATATATATATATATATATATATATATATATATATATATATATGTCTCGTCGTAAAGCCTATGATTTCGTAGTGCTCTTGACTACTCATACGAGGCCTAGTAAAAATCAAGTTGTTGGTTAAGTTGCGTCTACTTTTTAAAGGTCTTTTTGTGTTCCAAAAGTGCAAAAAAATGGACGTTTTCGTTGCTATAGGTTCTATAATTTTTGGATCAGGTCCTAACTTCCATCCTTCTGATATATTATTTTGAGTGTGCTCCTTTGTTCATGATTTATTTTACTTTATTTGTACAGCTGTATAATACATGTATTTCATTTTAATTAATCTGATCTATTTCACTATACTTACAATAGACTAAATTTTGTTTGCAATTTATTTTCAATAATTATTTATCATAATTATAATTCGCACTTTTTATTTCTAATATCTCACTGGGAACGACTATATGTTCATTTATTATCACAGTTATTTGCTATTTATTTTAATTAACATTTGTTATGTTTATCTTCAATTTTGTTAACACTAAAACTGTTCTTGCAGGACTCACTTGATGCTGATCAGATTGAGGGTATGTATTAAACCTAACCTTATATCAAGTGAGAACCCCTAGTTTAGGTGGGGTCTTAGGTGGGTCTCCAGTGGAACCCCTAGTTTAGGTGGGGACTTAGGTGGGTCTCCAGTGGAATCACCACTAGTTTAGGTGGGGACTTAGGTGGGTCTCCAGTGGAACCCCTAGTTTAGGTGGGGTCTTAGGTGGGTCTTAGGTGGGTCTCCAGTGGAACCCCTAGTTTAGGTGGGGTCTTAGGTGGGTCTCCAGTGGAATCACCACTAGTTTAGAAGGGCCATTTGTTGTGTCCCCCTCGTTAGGATTTACCAAAAAGGAAAAGGGACATGTATTTAAATTTTTATATATATTTTTTTTTAGTATTATTCTTTGGAATTTCTTTTAGTTCACGGAAGCGGCTTTTGTCCTCCTAAGTTTTTTTTTGTCAGTATGGTAGCTCTCTCGTTCAAAGTTGTTCTAGTTCTCACTTGCCTAAGTTCCTCTAGTTCTGACTGGCCAAAGTTGCTCTAGTCCCCACTAGGCAAAGCTGCACTAATATTCTCTCGTCCTAGGTGACTTAGCTAAGCGTTGTCTTACTCGCATTTCCTTATAGTAATACCCATTACGTCTCAGAATCAAGATTCGTTTTTCCCTCATCTTAGATCTGAGAAGGACCATCTTACCGTGAGCTTTAAAGAGTAGTAAATTTGTTAGATATCAGAGCTGTCTTCTTTTAGTGGTAGATGTCTTCCCAGAGTTGTAGACTCTGATCCTCAAGCGCTAGTTATAAAAAGTCTTGCTAGTGAGTAGTACCTTAGACCTTGTGCTTGCTGTTTATTGTTGCATCTAGTAGTTGAAGTTAGTGATCTAGTAGTTGAAGTTAGTGATCTTGTCCTCCTGCCTTTCCCAGCGTTAAACGGCAGCTGTGATCCTTGCTGTCTTCACCATCATCTTTCTATTTCAGCTGACATTTACCTTCGTGCTGGTAGATGAAGCGGACCTTCCTCTCATCACCTGGTGTCTACCCCCCTCTCTCTCTCTCTCCGGAATCCTCAGACCCTTGTGTCTACCCCCTCTCTCTCTCCGGAATCCTCAGACCCTTGTGTCTACCTCTCTCACCGGAATCCTCAGACCTCAGGAGGATCTTCCTCTCACACCGAAGTGCTAAGACCAAAGGAATATACTCACCGTAAGGTGCACCACGCTTCTCGGTCAATATAAACTTCAGGAGTATACTTTAGTTTCCGGACGATGTCCAAAACTAAAGTATACTTGCTGGTTGGTCAATAAACACGTGTGTACCTTAATAGCCGTCCACGGATTAATAAGCCCAACATCAATGTAGACCAAGAACTTATAAGCCTCCCGAGTTCCTCCTGTGTCTATGTCCATCGCTATTTCCACCTCTGTGTCTACCTGTGTCTATGTCCACCAGTTGCAAGTTCTGAGAAAATCCACAGGACCCGTGATGAGCATTGGAACCTATGCGCGAGGTATTCCCAGACTGACGTTTTAAGTTCCACCTCAACTTAGCTCCGGGTGCCTCTCCTATCCTATTTGGCCAAGTTTGATGTATTCAGAAAGTAGTATTGTCCAGTCCTCCTCCTGTGCTCAATTGCACTCAATATTGATCTTTCAAAATTCGTAATTATGTGTGTCATTCTCAGACCCCATCTGCGCTATCTCATCCGGTATGATATGCAGTGTATTTATATGTTCTCTAATAGTATAGTTTACCGGAAGTGCAATGGTTGCACAATTAGGCACGTAATGTCAACATTATCTCCAGCAAATTTGGATTGGTGTCGCCAATTTATATATCACTCCATGTTTGAGATCGACTCCTTATTGCTGATCGTGTATTATTGTATAGCTAAAAATACGGTACGTTCTAAATGCAAAAATCTACGATTTCTTCATTATGCAACTTTTTTTTTATTTCACATCTATTTCTTGGAAAAAATTGTACAGATTAAATGCATTTGAATCATTAGGATATGCATCACTGTTTTTAGGTAATGTTATCGAGGAAATCATTGTTAAACCATGTCCTCCCAATCACCGCAAATTCCATATAACTATATATTAATTAATTCAAATGTTTTAAACCAATCCCATATGCTGCGCCCCATCCGTAATAAGCTTGTGAAAATAAACCAAAATTCAGTATATTTATTTCGGCACACATACACTGCCTTCAAGGCCGACCTCAACCACTCGGCCAACCCAACCACTTGGCCAACCCAACCACTTGGCCAACCCAACCACTTGGCCAACCCAACCACATGGCCTTTAGACTGTCATCTTTTAGCTCAAGGAGACGTCACACAACACCCTAACAAGGTCTTAACAGACTTGAAGACACTCTTAATTAATTCAAGTGCATCACACCTCACTGCTATAACTCCTCCTTTTGTTTTCGCAGCTCTCAGGAAAGCCTTCGATTCCTTCGACACGGACAAGAAAGGTGCCATCACCACCGACACCGTCTCCACCATCTTGAGGATGATGGGCGTCAAGATCTCAGAGAAGAACCTTCAGGAGGTCATCGCTGAGACTGACGAAGATGGTGAGTCGAAGTCATCCTGGGTTACATCAGTCGAAATCAACCATCATAAAGTTGACCAAACCACACAATAGAAAGTGAAGGGACGACGACGTTTCGGTCCGTCCTGGACCATTTTCTCGAGTCGATTGTGCGAATGGTCCAGGACGGACTGAAACGTCGTCGTCCCTTCGCTTTCTAGTGTGTGGTTTGGTCAACATATTTCAGCCACGTTATTGTGACTCCTCGTCTGCAACCATGATAAAGGCGTTCTCATCGTCAAGGTACACAGAGAAGTGTAAACTTTGCTCGTGGGGTCTATATACACTTATAGTTTTAATTTTGGACTATGTTCAGGGTTAAAGTATACTTTAATTGCTAGTTAGTAATTGTAGGTGGGCCTTAAAAGCCATCTCTAGAACATTTTAGTTCTCAACCGGTGAACCGCGAAATCAAAATTCTGAATATTATACTCAATACTGTGTATACTGAGTACTGGTATATCTAGATCATCGAGAATTAGCAAGTGGTTTTTTGAGTATTAGAAAATCGGGCCGCGAATCCGAAAAGATTGGAAACCACTCTTCTATAGGCTGATAAGTCTTTCAACACCGGACCAATAGTCTCAGCCATAGGCACCAGCGTAGCGGGATTACTTAAAAACAAAAACAAAAAGTAATAAGGCCCTAGACATTGAAAGACAAACGACCCAATTTTTCCCTTATTTACACCCCAATTTAATCTACTACATACTTCTATATTTAGTCTCCTATTTTCATCACTCCAATCTCCCATTTCCTATTCAATCAGCCTTGCTAACTCTCTCTTTTGAATACACAAATGATTAAGAACAAATATCTCTTACTAGATATATATCCATAAAACAATTCTCACCCGTGAGATTCGCGTCAAACTGTCCATATTTTATGGGAGCAGTAGACCCAGAGATTAATATTAACCACACGTTGTGAGTATATAATTATAAATACGGGAGTATATCACTGTGTAAGCATATATACATGCTTAATATATTTGATTCACATAAAGGATTTTAGTCACACTTGGGAGCTCAGTTATTGGCAAGATATTCTACTAGTAAATTTAACAAAACAAATATACACAGGACTGCATAAAAGTTCCTTAATTACTGTATCTGATCAGAGAAAAATTGTGCTGTAAATATTATGATTAAAAAGTACCGAGAGATTAAGCTGGAAAATATATATCGATAATTTAATATTTGGATCATAACCGGTAAGTTGATTAAGCAGATGAATCAGGCGGGTTAAACTGCCTTCATGACTCGATCTATTATCTCATTGCTGTTCAACATTCAACAGGTGTTAAATTTGTTTTATCACAATATGTCTCACTGATCACGTTCAGAGTTACCAAGTATGTTCTATAGAGTTTCAAACTGGAAAGTCTCTCTCTATGACCTTTCGTAATCCAGACTCTAGTGTATGGCTCTGCAGCATACCTTCCGCAGCCCACGGCTCTAGCATACTCGAATAGTCACCTCGTCGTTACCTGCTTATCGCAATACGAGTTCCTTAGAACCTTATTCCCAGTCTTGCCCATTTCTGTCTTTCCTATACCCTATTACTTCCTCTTCAGGATCCGGCGAGCTGGAGTTCGAGGAGTTCGTGGAGTTGGCCGCCAAGTTCCTCATTGAGGAGGACGAGGAGGCCCTCAAGGCCGAGCTGAAAGAGGCCTTCCGCATCTACGACAAGGGCGGTGAGTTATAGCTTACAGCTACAACTTAGAGAGTGTGATTGAGTCGCAGCTTAGAGCATTCGAACTGCCGCGGCTCTTGTGTTGGGATTGGAGAAAAGTGGTGTTTCATAAACCGAATATCAACTGTATGTATATATATGCCCTTGCCATAAGATATATTTCCCCACTGAACTATTTCCAGCGGAAGTAAATGTATTTGTGGTTTACGGAGTACCCCTGAGATGAGGAATTCACCATTTCTTGACAGCAACATCACGACTGAATTGTTATTCCACAAAACTCACTCAGCAATTGGTATAAAAATACAATACTACTCAAAAAAATATTGTTGATAAACACACAAACTACTACTGGATGTTTATTTTTAGTATAGATTTAAACAATATTAATCTGCTCATATCTGACCCTTAATTACTTCCTGCTGCAGGTGACGGCTACATCACGACGGACGTGTTGAGGGAGATCCTGCGGGAGCTGGACAACAGGTTGACAGAGGATGACCTGGACGGTATTATTGAGGAGGTCGACGAGGACGGCTCCGGCACACTCGATTTTGATGGTGAGAGACGGAAAGAAAGACAGAGAGAGAGAGAGAGACAGAGAGTTCCCTGGAACACGAACTACCCATGGGTTTATAACCTGGTGCCCAATTAATACTGCATGCTTGGTTGAACAAGGGGGCAGGAAACTGAGGATCAGTGCCCAAGCGTTCTTCCTTGTCTAGATGAAAAAAAAAATTGAGAAAGACTGTGACTGAGATGGAGATTATGAGTTCAATGAAAAATACGTTTTAATATAAACGTATTTAAAAATACGTTTATAATTATATACTAAACTGACGTCTTATTGTTGAATCAAATCTCGTTTTTTTACCAGTCTTTAGGGAGTGGATTCCCTGGAAGTAATGACTTTAAAATCACTGTGTAATTAGTGCTATGATCTACTCCCTATCCATGGGTATGTTATCTTAGGAGTATCTTAGGTTAAGGTTAGGTTACGTTACGTTTCATTGTATTTGGTTATGTTAATACGGTGTATTATTCTCAGCAATGTAAAAACTCAAATTCGAAAACTATTTGAGTACCCCCTAGAATTTAATTTATTGAAAGTCAAATTTTTCTCACTGTTTCGAAGCAAACGAGTTCAGAATATATTTTTTTATATTTTAAATCAACAACATATAATATGATTAAGTTATAATTTGGGAATATTCTCTGTTTAGGACAAAGGGTCACTTGCCAGTTTACAAGTAGACTATTATTGGAACCATAATATGCTTTCGAACCATCACAAATATCTAGATAATTATCCAGATGGTTTGAAAAGGGGGTTTGGTGACTCATTGTAATGGATGAAGTATGAAAATGAGCTGAAGTTTTATACTGCCTCTTTCTTTCGTAATACTTAATTTATTCCTTCAAAATCCATGCAAAAGGTATACACAAAGCATATGTATCCCGCTCTGAGTTTATATATACTCTGAGTACAATTTATTCCTCTATAATGTTCAGAATTTAAGTATACTCCCGTATTTGATAGGCCTTAAGTCCAACATCTGACAAAAGCCAAAATCCATTATAATCGCATTTTCCTTATTTAGTTAATGGTGATCCTAAAATAATTTAACTTAGCTACTTGTGATAATAAATATATGTTGATGCACCTCACAATTACAAGGAAATATTTCCATTGTCGAATAATGATAAACTTACTTAGAGCCCCTTAGCCAAGGACGAAGCTCTCCGGGCGGTCACTCAGCAAGTTACAAGCCCGACCCGACGACAATTAACCTCATTAAATGAGTATCTTGCACATTATCTATTTCACCATCCTATTCTGCTCTAGTGTTTGTTGGTTGGATTACACCAAATAAATTCACTCGTCTAATTACACCCTTTTTATTCCATCATCAATATATAGCTAATGACACCATTATATACAAACACACTAATTTAATGTCCTAATTTTCATTGCAGAGTTCATGGAGATGATGGCTGGGTAGTGTGGAAGGTGAGACACTAGCTTTCTCATCCCAGCCTCTGTACCCCTCACCTGAGGAATAGGACATCTCCGTACTGTGTCTCATCCCAGCCTCCAGCTCTCCACCTGAGGAATGACATCTCCATAGTGTGTCTCAGCATCCTCCTCATCCCAGCCTCACATGTACAAGTGTCAAGATAACCCCCCCCCCCATCCCCCCACCCATTCTCATCTGTGTGATGTTTGCTAATGGCTAATGACGTTCGTGTCAACATTATTTAAACATCATCGTCATCATTCTTACTGAAGCGTGATTATTAGTGATAAGATTTGTGTTTAGGTATGTTTAGAGAGGCCTTAATTTCAAAATGAGTGATGAATGGAAAAATGAGCAAAATTTGGTTGCGATTAGATTCTAAATTAGGAATTATAGGTGTGGCCAGGTGTACTGAGCCCAGTTATGCAGAGGACATAGTAGTATATAGAGCATTGGTCTTTTATTGTTATTAAATTCACTATCTCTCATTCCACTAATGTTCACTTAAATGTATCTTTTTCTGAGTAAACTGATAATCTGGTTATTTGTTTTCATCATTCTTTTGGCATGAGACACAGGAGATAATGAATGTTTACACTTGGTTAACAAATGATGACGATTGTTTAGACTTGGGGAAAAATAATGAAAAATGCTTACACTGGGGGAACGCCCCAAAAAATAAATACTAAGTGCTCATCAAAAAACTTCTAAACGTTTTTCAAAAACTACACAAAGCCCCCTTAAAAAACCTACTGAACGCCCTGCAAGAGCAATCTACTTAGAGGGATTTTAATCACAAAGAAAAAGACTGGGAAAATAGGGGCCCCCAACGGGTTTGATGAGACATGGAGAGCAAAACTGATAGACGCGGCGGAAAAAAAATATACTTCTTGATGCACCATATTACAGAAGCAACAAGAGTCAAAGGAAAAGATTCCACCAGCAACACCAGACCTGATCCTTTCCCAAAATGAAGCAGATGTTGAACAAAATTAAAGAAGCATGAGCTGCCTTTTGAAGCCATAGCGACTACTGCATTATTGTGCTGCAGTACGTAGTGGAGCTGAAGGGGTTGGGCAAAAAAAATCTATTGAAGAAGATGAGAGATTACATACATGGGGGACTACACTAAGATGAAGGACTTTCTGTTGTTAAATACATAAAGGGAGAGAAAAAATGGAAAAAAAAGACGGCAAATTAAATGATGAAATTCATTGCTCGGAAATGTGCCAATGCAATTGAGCAGTTCATACCACTCAAAAAAGCAGGTGGACGACAAAAGTAAAGCCCCTGGTTCAATGGGCAACGTGGGAAAGGTAAAGTAAGGACAAAAAGCTTTCTAAAAGCAAAGTAAAGCAAAAGTTTCTAAAATTAGAAATAGCCGATAATAGAAAAGGCCTGATGAAAACCGGAAATCAATATACCAGAATATGAAGTAAAGCTGAGAGGCAGTTTGAAATTGACATTTTCAATCTTTATCAAAATCTAAAAATTAACTAAAAATGTTATATAGCCATATAAGGAAAAAACAGACTATATACTCAGACTGATGAAACATAGGGAATTCTCTCAGAAAACAATAAGGAAGTATGTAAAAAATTGAAGAAAATAATTCAGAAGGGCTTTAGAAAATAACCAGCATTGAGACCAAGGTTGTGGGATGAAAAGCCGGAAGAAACAATGGATGACAATGTTCTTACTGTACAAAAGATAAAGAACATCACATGGAAGAAATAGATGTGACAAAATCAATTATACCAGCCTTAATCTCACTATGGATGCTGAAGGAGGCTGCAAAAGGTACTTTGTTGACAGCTAAATAAAGTTTTAAACATTTGAGACTGGAAACCTCTCAAAATTCTGGAAAAAGGCAAACATAGTCCTAATATTCAAAGGTCAAAGACAGGAGGCATTAAATAACAAACCAATGTCACTGACATGCATTCCATGTAATGTGATAACAAAACGTTATCAGGTTCAGAATAGTTGAATATTTGGAGAGGACAATGTAGCAAATGCCCAGCATGGTTTATGGAGGGAAAAGTTTTACCTGACAAACCTGATCCGAATTCTATGACACGGTTAATAAAATAAGACAGGAAAAATAGTTATATTTTCCTAGATTATCAATAAGCGTTTAATACTTCTCCTCATAGAAAACTGGCATGGAAGATGAAGAAGCAAGCAGAGGTAACTAGCCAGACACTGAACCGGATACAGGACTACCTGAAGAATAGAAAACAGTTACAGTCAGAGATGAGGTTTCGAGGCGGAGAACGGTAGCAAGTGGAGTTGCCCCCAAGAGTCGAACCTGGGACTCCTATTATTCCTAATTTATGTGAATAACCAACCCGAGGGTGTGAGCTCATACATATTGCAGACACAAGTCCACTACGGGCTCACCATATCCCGTGCTACTTGGAACTTTTGTACCGAGTAGCTGAATCTAAAACAACAGCAATTTGCAGACGGCACAAAAGCTTATGAGGCATGTAAAAACCGAGGAGTACTACAGAACGTTACAGGATGACCTTGCCAAACTTCAGGATTGGGCCAACAAATGGTTGCTGGAATTAAATCCCAACAAGTGTATAGTAATCATGATGGCAAAACGAGATAGATATATAATATACAAGCTTCCTGTCGGGATCATGAAGCCTGTATATTATTCACAAAGAAATTTGTATTTCGTAATCAAATTATGGTTCACAAATGCCGTGTTTTTTCTTCTCCGAGGTTAAGGGTCCTCACAAATATAACAAGAGGGGGTAACCCTTATGTAATAATAATAATAATAATAATAATTATTATTATTATTATAACATTATTATTATTATTATTATTATTATTATTATTATTATTATTATTATATTATTATTATTATTATTATATTATTATTATTATTATTATTATTATATAACAAAAATAATAATAATAATAATAATTATTATTATTATTATAACATGAAATTAAATTTACATACCAGCTCTCTCTCTCTCTCTCTCTCTCTCTCTCTCTCTCTCTCTCTCTCTCTCTCTCTCTCTCTCTCTCTCTCTCTCTCTCTCTCTCTCTCTCTCCCTATCTATCTATCTATCTCTCTCTCCCTATCTATCTATCTCTCTCTCTCTCCCTATCTATCTATCTCTCTCTCTCTCTCTCTCTCTCTCTCTCTCTCTCTCTCTCTTCTCTCTCTCTCTCTCTCTCTCTCGTGTCCTCTGAAATCCTCCAAGAGCATGTCAAGATTAATGGTCATCTTCCTTTTGGCCTGAGTCGGCACTGAAGATTACTTAAAGTGGTGGCTGTGTACTGCGGAGATTAGGGCTGCTGGAGCCGCTCGGCTCAATGTTGTAAGTGTCAGCCATAAATTGTAAATACAATTTATTGCATTTTAACTCGACTCTTGTTTCTGGGTTTGTAAATACGCCCGATTAAGCAACATCAATTAAAATAAAGAGGTGGAATTTAAGTGTTTTGAGTACATACGAAAATGTTCACGGAAGGACGAATAAGCTAAAACTCATATTGACAAGCAAATACACGCAAGTGCGGTCACACACACACACACACACACACACACACACACACACACACACACACACACACACACACACACACACACACATTTTTTTCAGTGTCAGAGTAGTAGACAAATGGAATGCATTAGGAAGTGATGTGGTGGAGGCTGACTCCATACACAGTTTCAAGTGTAGATATGATAGAGCCCAATAGGCTCAGGAACCTGTACACCTGTTGATTGACGGTTGAGAGGCGGGACCAAAGAGCCAGAGCTCAACCCCCGCAAACACAACTAGGTGAGAACACACACACACACATACACACGCACATATATAAATATATATATAAACACAAATAGGTGAGTACACTGTTACCAATACGACTTTCCCTACGAACATACAAATGCTATCAAACCAAACCTAACTTACCAAACCTAACTTACCTAACCTAACTTACCTAACCTAACCTATCTAACCTAACCTAACATAGCCTAACATAACTAAGTTAGTAACTGATGTTCCTAATGTAATTTCTATAAATAATGTTACTAAAGAACCAGTTTGGAAAGAAATGTTTAAAAGTAACGAAAACCACTCAGTCTGTTAGGCAAATCCGGCTTTGCTTACTGGGCCAAATAGTTCGGTTCTGACTATTAGGTACGACATATATATATATATATATATATATATATATATATATATATATATATATATATATATATATATATATATATATATATGAATATATATATATATATATATATATATATATATATATATATAATATATATATATATATATATATATATATATATATATATATATATATATGAGACAGAAAGATTGAGATTATTAATTCGAACACAAATCTTTTCTATATTTCTTATGTACTTCTTTGCTTGAAAGTTGAAAAGTGAATTCTCCAAAGTTCATCAGACAGTTTTATGACGGTCTGACGTCAAGATGCTGACCGGGTCAACATCTTCGTAGGTAGAGGGGTAGAGAGATGGGGACAATTACACACAGAAATCACAATAGTGTGATGCATCAAATGAACAAATCCATGAGCTATGACCATGTCGTAGCTCACTCGATTAAGGCAGCGTCTGGGATGCTCTCGGACGTAGGTTCGAATCCTGGTCACGGAGCTTGTGGATTTGTTCATGGGGGCAGTGTATGCATCCTGGGGGTCTTTCATAATACTCTTGGTTCAGTGAGCAGGCGAGTATACGAAAGCTTTAAAGTGCTTTAGAGGGAACGTTGAGATCAGGTTTCTGGCGTTCATGGGCTCCCAACTGTGCTGGTGTTTGCGAAGATTTATCAGCGAGCAATGTTGCGAGGTCAACATCTTGATGATGGCAGACTTGATCTTCCAGATTACTTCCCAGTTGCTGTTGCTTGGTGCGTCCTCGACGCTCGGCTCAAGGCCATCTGACACACACACACACACACACACACACACACACACACACACACACACACACACACACACACACACACACACACACACACACACACACACACACACACTGTTAAGATGCGGGACCAAAGAGCCAAACCTTATCCCATGCAAGCACAAGTAGGTGAGTACAACTAGGTGAGCACACACACAAACACACACACACACAAAAAAAAGACGTTCTACAAACAAGCTCCCAAGTCTAAACCAGAACTGAAAAACTCGTTGGCATTACTATATTTTGATGGTCTAGTACATCTTGGCCCAGCCCTGAAAAAAACTTAATACTAACCCAGTGTTCAAAAATGATAAGACAGTCCATGTTAAATAAGAACTCGCCCTCGTCTGTAGCAGGTTGTGTGTACTCCATCCCTGGTAATGAGTGTGCGTGTGTTTACCTTGGCCAGACTGGTAAATCTCTTTCCTCGCGTTTAAAACAGCATTCATATGCTATTCGTACAGCCCAGCACTCCAGTGCATTGTATTTACATTCCAGTTTATGCGATCATTCTATCGACTTCAGAGGGGCAAAATGTATCGTTAAAAGTAAGGGTTTCGTTAAACGAAATTTGATCGAGTCTGCTCGGATCAAACACTGTAACAACAGCCTTAATGTGAGCCCCGGTATGTAAAAGTTGGATCCCCATATAAGCCTCAAAATAGCACATCAATACAATATAGCATCTATTTAACCTGTATGGCACTTTTATATATCTTCCAGTTATGGATATTAATAGGGACTGCCTCGAATGGGCCAATAGACCTTCGGCAGTTACCTTCTTTCTTATGTTTCATTTCCTTCACCTTTTCTTGATGGTCAGGTGATCTGCCCTGGCGGGTATAAAAGTCTGATCAACAATATATATTGCCCACGGGAGACATCTCCCGTCACGCAGGGTACAGTCGCACCTCCACAGATCTCCAGTATCAGCTCTTGATACTGGTAATGGCTCGAAAGGGTCACCACTTACGGGCTATTCATGTCCGTGCCACCTCTTGGGTGGCTTAATCTTTATCAATCAGTCAATCTATATATTGTCAACTGAGACCAGTATTCCTGATTAACGCAACTCTTTCTCTCAGCACTAACACGTCACACCAAGTTCAGATGGGCTAGCCTTATGACTCAGATGGGCTGACCATAAGGCCTATACGTGGTTGCAGCAACATATTAAAAGCGCCTCCCAGACCCCTCAAGTCGAACTTCCTGTACGTATCTAACCATAACACAATTTAACATCTCATGCAGTAACCCCCACAGGAATTCTACAGCCTGTCTAGTACTGAACCAGTCAGCCATGACAGAGAGCAATCAAATATATATAACACGCGAGAGAACGGTTCTACCAGGGTAAACTTGGACGCTACAAAAGAAACAGAGGTCCGGATTTTTCCTATAAATACAACTTAAGCGCTTCGTTCTCTGAAGCAGCTACACAGATTAAGATCAGCCACTCAGGCCAGGTAAATCCCAAACCCCCACTCATCGTCTTGAAGCAGGATGTAAATAACTACAATCACCAAATATTTATATAAAATATGTCAGAAAACACGAATATATATATATATATCGACACGTATATATCCGCTGGTTGATCCGGCGATGAATGAAAGTGATTCATTCTCCCGAGTAGCAACATGGAGGGAAGACAGGTGAGTTCAGAGGTATATGTAGCAGGTGTATTGTTAGGTGGTATACTGCCGGACAGGTGCTCGAGGGGGTAGCATCCTCGCCACATGCCTCAAAGCCAACGGTTTCAGCCGGTTTCGAGCCCCTGGCTTGGAGAGTCGAGGCTCGCCCAGTGACTCGCGAATGATTTGCTTTGGGTTCGAGTCCTGCAGACAGGGAAGATTGTCTGATCTCCATTATTTAACTGTACACTTAACATTCATGTTAAACGATTAGTCTAAACCAGAACTGAACTGTTTCTCCTGGTAGTGGTCCAGGAGAAACTAATGGGTATATGGCTTACCATGAGCTATGGGACGGGAAAAGCTCTCAGCCTACTAACAGGAGTCAGAAACCTGTGTAAAGAAACACTATTCGCCCTTCTTCACTCAGCAGAAATATATATATATATATATATATATATATATATATATATATATATATATATATATATATATATATATATATATATATATATATATTTTTTTTTTTTTAAATATATAGAAGGGAGTACCACCTCTAGCTGGAAGAAGGGGTATTTTATAATTTCATAAGAAAAAAATTAGAGAAAATATAATAATTCAGGAAAACTTGGCTTATTAGACAAATTATATATATATATATTGTGACAGTAACGCGTTGGTGTTCGGCTGTTTCAAAAGCTAGTTTTATGGCCTCGTCACTCAAAGAAAAAAAAGAGAAAAGCTGGAACTTTTGTCTGTGGTAAGGTAATGGGAAGACACACAAAACACAAGTAAATTTAACAATGAAATTTTAATTATGTTAGAAAAGCAAAACATGAATAAAATTGGACATAAAAATTGTAACAGAGAAATCAATCAAACAAAATAATAAGAATAATCACTGGCAAATGAAAAGTTACGTTAATACAAGTGAGTAATAGCAAAATAAATTATATTAGTGCAGGAATATTGGCTTCAAGCTGCCACCTCCCTTAGTACATGTAAGCCAAGGCTTAGTCTACCAATGAGACGTGTTAACTTGTGGAAAGCACTAGATATTCTGCCCTCCTCAGGTCGCGGTGGCTCAGACATCAGCTCGTGTGGCGGGTGGAGGAGCAGGTGCGACGGGCACCAGCCAATCAGCGATAGGCAGGCGATGGACAAGCTGTTTGCCGGTTTGAGTGGCGGAGGTGGAGCAGGTGTCCCGGTGTTGGATACGTTTTGCTCCCTGACAAAACTTGTTGTTGTACTTGTTGGATATATCTTCTATATTAGGTGTTTCTGGGACGTAGTTTGGAGGGAAGAGCAGGCTCAATCTCTCTTGAAGGAGATTATCGTCACAATATATATATATATATATACAACTTTAGAACACTTTCCCACCAGGAGACTCGAACCCTAGCCAGCACAGAAGCCTTCCAGCAACTGGCATAACAGGTATGCCTTAACCCGCTGCACCACCTGCTCAGACCCTTAAAGAGATGGTAATTTTTGGAGTATTTAAATCCCCCAAAGATCAACACCTCCCAAGAGCACCAGAGCAAGTGAGGGGTCATTTAGACGTTAATTTCATCAAGTCCCTGTTAATATGGGAAGACACAGTGTCTATGCTTAAGGCACAACTCTCTTAAACATGAGAGTGAAGTATACAACTTTAGAACACTTTCCCACCAGGAGACTATATATATATATATATATATATATATATATATATATACTATATATATATATATATTATATATATATAAATTATTCCTAATTATTCTTACAGTTAAAAGAGTGGAAGTTTACCTTTGAACAATGACCCATACGGCGCTGGCCCGGTATAGCATTATTTACGACACACACAGAGAAATCCCATTACCGTGACATATCAATGACAAAATCAACAGGATCTGTGGTGAGGATTCGAACCAATGTACTGGGTATTTCCAGACGCACGGTTTCTGTTATTATTTACGACGCCTAAGATCCGTGGCATCTTAGACTTCCACATCTCTCATTAAACATCAAAGTCACGCGTCTTGCTGGGGGGTTTACTGTTTGTAAGTAATTGCTAGTCTCTTAAGGGCCATTAAAGTCTAGATAATGGTGGTGGAAATGTAATAGCCAGGTCTTGAGCTCCTATGTGTCGGGTTGTGATCACTCTTTAAGTGCCTGAGCAGCACGTAGTGATCACTTAGTGATCTGCTCAGGCACCGCACAGGCTCAGTACTCGAGCTCAACTTGGAAGCTTTATCCTTGTTGTTGAGTGCTTGACGCGCTCAGTAGCAGCAGCATACGAACATTAAGACAGCTTCGCCTGACTGGTGAGACTAATTCGTATGACTGGTAAGAAGACAGCTTCGCCAGAGCGACATCTGCCTTACACCCGACTGGACCTACCTGCCTGACCAGTGCCAATTCTGACCTTATAAACATTCCTCTTAGTTTCCCTACTAGTCAGTTTTCAGAAGAAGAATGAAATGAAGGTTTACACATACCAGCAAATCTTCAGGCTACAGTAGCCTGTAGCCTTGTGGATATATGTAAACCTATAAATGTTTTCAAAGTCTAAATATATCATATTTAGTGACCTGAATCAAAACAACCAGAGATGGAAATGAGATATCAAATCTAATTCGATAGCAGAAAAAAACTCGATAACTGATAACCCTTAATTAACGTGTTGTTGTTTTTTAGAGGCGAATTAGCGTCTGGAGTTCCGTTATAGCCAGGGGTCCGTTATAGTGATGGACGGGTAACAGGGGCAAGCAGCTATAGTGTTGGGATTCTGTGGCTGTGTGTGTGTGTGCTGTGGGGACTCAAGGGAGAGGGGGGGGGGCTTGGGGAGGGGGGGACGCAGGAAGAGGACACAGGAGAAAGGTAAGTCAAAATCTGAAGGAATGAGCCGCGCCTCGGCGCCGGAATTTGTGCTCTAAAATAGTGTGGATAAAAAGGCGAGGTTGGGCGAGCAGGCGATCCACTTGCTGCGTGTGTGTCTTGGTGGGTGTGTGTCCATCCGCTCTTCTTCAGTCTCCCCTCACATCTCTCCCCCTCACACACCCGTCAATATGGTGAGTCTCTCCCCTTTTTCTGTCTCTTCCCTCACACACCCGTCAACATGGTGAGTCTCTCCCCTCACATCAAGTAGACGACACAATCATTACGCCCACTTTGGGCTTCCAGCTTCTCTACACATTACTATTCCCCGTCCGCCGCTACCTAACCTAACCTAACCTAACCTAACCTAACCTAACCTAACCTAACCTAACCTAACCTAACCGGACAGTGACCTGAAACAACCCAACACTGGCAGTGTGTGTGTACTCACCTAGTTGTACTCACCTAGTTGTGTTTGCGGGGGTTGAGCTCTGGCTCTTTGGTCCCGCCTCTCAACCGTCAATCAACAGGTGTACAGATTCCTGAGCCTATCGGGCTCTGTCATATCTGCACTTGAAACTGTGTATGGAGTCAGCATCCACCACATCACCCCCTAATGCATTCCATTTGTCAACCACTCTGACACTAAAAAAGTTCTTTCTAATATCTCTGTGGCTCATTTGTGTGGCTCACACACACGCTGTGTGTGTGTGTGTGTGTGTGTGTGTGTGTGTGTGTGTGTGTGTGTGTGTGTGTGTGTGTGTGTGTGTGTGTGTGTGTGTGTGTGTGTGTGTGTGTGTGTGTGTGTGTGTGTGTGTATTCACCTAGTTGTATTCACCTAGTTGTGCTTGCGGGGGTTGAGCTTTGCTCTTTCGGCCAACCTGTCAACTCTCAATCAACTGTTACTAACTACTAACTAATTTTTTTTCCACACACACACACACACACACACACACACACACACACACACACACACACACACACACACACACACACACACACATCCAGGAAGCAGCTCCGTAACAGCCGGCTAACTCCCAGGTACCTATTTTACTGCTAAGTAACAGAGGCATCAGCGTGAAAGAAACTTTGCCCATTTGTTTCTGCCTAGTTCGGGAATCGAACCCGGGCCACAGAATTACGAGTCCTTCGCGCTGACCACTCAGCTACCGTGTGTGTGTGTGTGTGTGTGTGTGTGTGTGTGTGTGTGTGTGTGTGAGCTTGTGGGAGCAGCATGAGGAATCTATATCAATTAATCACCTTTTTTAAAGGGAAGGATATATATATATATGCCGTACAAAAAAACAGTATGAGAAAAAAAATCCTCAGTCAATAATAACAGGACCTTTTGACAAGCCGCTGGCTTCCGGTCCCCGTCGAGGAGGAGGAAGGGGGGGGGCTCGCCCCCTACAGATGGTGGTCCTCAGGTCCTAAGGTGGTTTGAGGACATGCTGGGACTATCCCATAGTCTTGGATATGTGAAGAGACACAATACACACATCTTGAGGTTATCTTGAGATGATTTCGGGGCTTTTTAGTGTCCCCGCGGCCCGGTCCTCGACCAGGCCTCCACCCCCAGGAAGCAGCCCGTGACAGCTGACTAACACCCAGGTACCTATTTACTGCTAGGTAACAGGGGCATAGGGTGAAGGAAACTCTGCCCAATGTTTCTCGCCGGCGCCTGGGATCGAACCCAGGACCACAGGATCACAAGTCCAGCGTGCTGTCCGCTCGGCCGACCGGCTCCCAAGATATAGATAGACTTAAAGGTGTATGAAAGCCACACCCTCATAGATTTAAAGTGTGTGTGTGTAAGAGCACACTCACAGGTTTAAGGCTGTGTTGATATCAGCACCAATCACCTTGCTGTGCAATGTCTCTGTTGAGCTGATGGGAGAAATTTCAGTGCTGAAATTAGTGTAAACTCCACCATTGATGTGACCATGTTGATAACACCACTACTCTTGATGTGACCATGTTGATAACACCACCACTGATATGGGAATTGTGTTAACATTATATAAAGTGTTTCGGTTGTCTCACAATAATTGTGATATTCAATGAAGCTGTTAAGCAAGTGGAATGTGGTGCAAGGTGAGTCAGAATAAGTGGAATGTGGTGCAAGGTGAGTCAGAATAAGTGGAATGTGGTGCAAGGTGAGTCAGAATAAGTGGAATGTGCTGCAAGGTGAGTCAGAATAAGTGGAATGTGCTGCAAGGTGAGTCAGAATAAGTGGAATGTGCTGCAAGGTGAGTCAGAATAAGTGGAATGTGGTGCAAGGTGAGTCAGAATAAGTGGAATGTGCTGCAAGGTGAGTCAGAACAAGTGGAGCGTGATGTAGGGTGCGTTGGAACGAGTGGAATGTTCCACTCGTTCCAACGAGTGAGACAATATGAGACAATGTGATGAGAGCATATTCATTATCCTAAGAAGATATGTGAAAATATTTCGTTGTGATCGAAACTTGTCGAAGGGTTCCTTGCAACGTCCGGAATATGGTGATACATGAGAGACACAGGTGTCGGTGTGGCCATACACGAGGGACACAGGTGTCGGTGAAGTGATACATGAGAGACACAGGTGTCGGTGTGGCCATACACGAGGGACACAGGTGTCGGTGAAGTGATACATGAGAGACACAGGTGTCGGTGTGGCCATACACGAGGGACACAGGTGTCGGTGAAGTGATACATGAGAGACACAGGTGTCGGTGTGGCCATACATGAGACACATGTGTCGGTGAAGTGATACATGAGAGACACTGGTGTCTCTTGGCCTCGTACCCGGCAGTTTTGACCCAAATTCTTCAGTTTGTTTACACTGACCGTTGTACCCAGCGGCAGCTGCGGCTATTCCGGTGTGTAAGTGTGAAGAATGAGGCTTCTGGCCTCCTCATACTAACAGGACCAGTGAGGAGTGTGAGGAGACCTATAGCTGTGTCCCCCCCCCCCCTCACACTGCTGTATGTCCCCTTGCCTATACTTCTTGCTTCACCTCCCTGGGAGGGGTAGAGTTTGATCAATACCCCCTCCCATACCCAGAACATACGAGTAGTAAGATCAATATTGTTGACGGTGTATTTAGTCTTACCTTCCCTCTCTCTCTCCCTCTTGTATCCCTGCCCTCTCTCTCTCTCTCTCTCTCTCTCTCTCTCTCTCTCTCTCTCTCTCTCTCTCTCTCTCTCTCTCTCTCTCTCTCTCTCTCTCTCTCTCAATTCCCTCTATTCCTCCGTTCCCTCTCTTTCCTCTATTTGTCGTTTGCACTTGTGCATTTTAACATATCTAAAAAAATATAATGTCTGTCCAAAGTAAGAGGCCAACTGCTTTAAGTCAGGGTGCACATGTTAACAACATACAAAATTCTCAGGGGTGAGATTCATGTAGTGGTGGAGGGCCAGCCGTGCAGGTGATCCTCGACACACCGCAGAGGACAAACTGAAGGACAAACTTATCCCGACTTAAGTCCCAACATCTCTCTCTCTCTCAAACTTGTCATCATGCTTGAAAACCAAGTTTTATATTTCCCAATTATTCTCTTAAAAAGCCTAATACGAGTACTCTGTTATCTGTTGCTATTTTATCTCTGCTTCTCCTACTTTTTAATGCCTAAAAAAAAGCACTGTTATTTTCCCTGATTTAAGCTTTCAGTGTAGAGTCTGGTTTTTCAGCCAATCATGTAGAATTCTTCAGCATGGTGAAGAATCCATAAACGCTAAAGCCCAGTGGTGGAAATCCCATCAAAGACATGTAGAGAAATAATGCCATTAACATAATCACATGTTTCCCATTATGTTGCCTATTTGCAAAATAGATTTTATATTTGTTTTATTATTTTGCTAAGCTAAAAGACTATTGTAATATCTCTCTATTCCTGTCAAGGCTTTTTATTTTAATTATACACTGCATTAGTTAATTATATGCAGTAATATGTGTAACTAACACCGTAACTACTGTTGCAGGATTCATTGGATGAAGAACAGATTGGCGGTACGTATATACATCCCGGTAGAGTGCCCTCCCATACCCAGGTACCCCTGCTCCACTACACTACACCCATACCCCAGGCACCCCTGCTCCAGTACACTTCACCCATACCCCAGGCATCCCTGCTCCAGTACACTACACCCATACCCCAGGCACCCCTGCTCCAGTACCCTACACCCATACCCCAGGCACCCCTGCTCCAGTACACTTCACCCATACCCCAGGCACCCCTGCTCCACTACATTACACCCATACCCCAGGCACCCCTGCTCCAGTACACTTCACCCATACCCCAGGCACCCCTGCTCCAGTTCACTACACCCATACCCCAGGCAACCCTGCTCCACTACACTACACCCATACCCCAGGCACCCCTGCTCCAGTACACTTCACCCATACCCCAGGCATCCCTGCTCCACTACACTACACCCATACCCCAGGCACCCCTGCTCCACTACATTACACCCATACCCCAGGCACCCCTGCTCCACTACACTACACCCATACCCCAGGCACCCCTGCTCCACTACACTACACCCATACCCCAGGCAACCCTGCTCCAGTACACTACACCCATACCCCAGGCATCCCTGCTCCAGTACACTACACCCATACCCCAGGCAACCCGCCCCACTACACTATACCTTAGAAAGACAATCCACCTCTTCATCACATCAAACTTTGAGAGTGACAGCCCACATCTCTCCACACTACAGTATAGTCCAGGCCGTCCCCGTACCAATAGTTCTGCTCCACATCAAACTCACCACACTCAGGATTCCCATTAAAAAGATCAAATCCCTACCAAAATATTTCATCTCAATTAGATTCACCCAGAAGTGGTGATAAAATTCGTGCTAAATGTGTGAATCTGAAACGGGATTAATTATTCGTGAATCACGTAACACAAATAATTAACCACACTTCTCGTTCAATCCCGTTCCAGCAACCACAGAGCTGCATTCAGCCCCGTTCCTGCAACCACAGCGCCGTTTTCAACCCCGTTCTTGCATCACTCAATTTTTTCCTCAGAAATTTGATCTGCTGGGACTTTCAGAAAACATTATTCCACTTTCTCTAACTCGCATCATCACTAACGTGTATGTGTGAGTTAGTCACTCACATCCCCCTAGTGAAAAGTCACGCATAAAGTGTTTTCGAGTAAATAATTTTGCTTAACTGTTGGCGTCTTTCGTTTTAAGTTACTCCTTGAGGCGTATCTCCATGCATTTAAAATTGGTTTCGTCTTGCAGCCCTCCAGAAGGCGTTCGACTCCTTCGACACGGACAGCAAAGGCTTCATCACCCCGGAGACCGTCGGTGTCATCCTCAGGATGATGGGCGTCAAGATCTCCGAGAAGAACCTTCAGGAGGTCATCGCTGAGACTGACGAAGACGGTGAGTCGAGGAATTGGTAGTTTTTGAAATCCAATAGCAGCTTGGTCATTGTTGTTAATAATCCGTGATAAACACACTGGTCTGACAAATGGTGTTTGTCAGACCAGTGTGAGTTTGGCCTGACAAACACCATTTACGAAGCAGCAGCATTGAAACAAATTCACAATAATGGGATTATAGAAAGAAAATGGTTCTCTTCTTGACTTCATTCTTTTATTTTTAACTTTCACCTGAATTCTTTGTTAAGAACATTACTCCTGAACTCGCTGATGTGATCAGTGAAGCACTTACAGAGTTGCGATTCGAACATTGGTCGTTAAGCGAGGCACTGTTCGAGAAATGTTCGAACGTCAACAGTTGTGATTCGTGCGTAAAGCGTTTTAATTAATAAAGAAAGGGAGGGTGACGGTTGGATTGACGAGCATTTGGCCTTTGTTGATGAGGACGAGCTGCGATTGTGAGTCGAGAACGAATCCAACTGTACTACCGAGACCCCATATACAACACATTTCATCAATTTCTTCGTTGCTGATAAGAGCTGGATATATGATGAAATCAAATATTAAAAAATACTCTTTATCTGTTATACCCGAATACAATGAATATACAGAGGTGAGGGGGGAGGGGGGGCAGCGCCTCGCAATCCGTTCTTACGGTCTGGTCAGGGGGGGGGGGCAGCGGGCCCCGCCCCCTCCCTATCATACTTACACTTAATAATTTCTTTACGCCGTGTTCATTATGGCTATGCTCATCCTGTGTGTTTCATTTATTTGTACTTTATGAAATTTAACTCGACAAGTATTACTTGGTTATTCATGTTCAATTATGTTTTGTTTTTTCGTATATAAGTGTTGCTTTCCTTGATATTTACTACTTTTATTAAATATTTTCCACATGTTTTGCTTCGGTCGACCTCAGAAATTCAGAATTTCATATTAATTCATTTCTGAAATTGGTCTTTAACAATGAACTTAGATCAACAGTTACCCCTAAACTCTATGTTTTCTTTTTCTATTCACGATGAGAGAAATGCAAGGTTAATAGGGGTAACCCAAGAAAACAAACTTTACCTATACTATTTTTAATAAAAATTATCTTTGAATTAATTTCAACCCCAAGAAGTGGGTTACATCGTAGGAACCACAAAGAATGCTGTATCCATCATATACTTTCTTCCCTTCCCCTTATCACTGCTCGTGTATCGTCATCATCATCTCTCATCAACGATGAATTATCACTAAACCATTCATCGTTCCTACAGGCTCTGGCGAGCTGGAATTTGAGGAGTTCGTGGAGCTGGCCGCTAAGTTCCTCATTGAAGAAGATGAAGAAGCGCTGAAGGCTGAGCTTAGAGAAGCTTTCCGTGTCTATGATAAGGAAGGTAAGTCACTCGTAAGTTTCCTGCCCGAAACGCTTTGCGTAATAGTGGCTTTAGGCATTGTATGTACTAGCTCTATCTATAAAGCCAACAAACTTTGTAAAATCTCTTTATGTATGTACCTTTACCTAAATAAAAATTATTATTATTATTATTATTATACTATATATTAGACTTTGGTATCTTATCACCTTGATAATCTCGCAAATATTAATGACTTCCATTACCTAACCTTAATGATAAAAAATAAAATGATATAAAATGATATTGTGCATATCATATCTATTAACAGGCGGGATTATGATTTTGCGGCCAACCTAATTGGATATTCCATGTTAAGAATGTAATCAGAATTAGAAACTTTATATCTGTAACAACCTGTACACATAATTGCAATTGTGGCTGGATTAAACAAGTGTACATCAGTGTAAATCAAACTTACATTTTTTTAGCAAATCGCTTCTCGAGTTCTGATTTTTTTGACGTACTCGGGAATTTGAGGCTTATTGAGGATTCGGTGATGAGCTTCCACTCGTCTTCAAGGAGCGGCTGGACACAAATCCTGAAAGTTCTGAGAAAGCATTCAATCACCCAACCTTTTGGACTGGTTGGTTCAGTGACGACCTTGCAAGATGTAAGGTCGTCGTTCGATTTGCGACGGGCAAAGATGTTAGACATTGTTCCATCCCTCCGTCTTCATATCCTAGCACTAATCCTGTCCTCGTATCCTCTCTAGATATGAGGACTGGATAAGAGTTATACAGTGAAACTGGGTTAGTGAATTACATATTACTATACCTCAGTTTTGTTGTTTTTAAGTTCTTCTGTCAATTTTAACTTCAGTAAGACACTCCGAGATGTCGTTGAATAATTCTTAAGACATCGTCAGCGTCGCGAAACCATTTGACCCCAGGTGGGAATGATATTGGAAAATCGTACTGTTCCGAGTGATTAATTAAATTAATTACTGAGCACAGGCCAATTTTGGGGACTCATTACAGTGCCGCATTGTTGACGAAAGAACTGAGACCCGATGCTCGAGTGACTGTAGAGAGTGTACAGGGCGATCAAAACGTTGTTTGGAATCTCAAAAGTGAAGAGGAAGTTCATTGTAGAGGTTCAGTGTTGTTCAGGGCTTCACTGTAGAAGTTCACTGTTGTTCAGGGCTCCACTGCAGAGGTTAAGTACTGTTCAAGGCTCCATTGTAGAGGTTCACTGTTGTTCAGGGCTCCACTGCAGAGGTTAAGTATTATTCAGGGTATAGGGGTTTAAGGTTTTTCTGGCTCCATTGCAGAGGTTCAGAGTTGTTCAGGGAGTCCACTGGATATGTTCAGTGTTTCCAGAGCGTCATTAGTACATGATGTATGTTGAAGTTAGGCCAGTACGAACACCTTGATAAACCCACCCGTCCCGGGCAAAGGTAAACCAAAAATATTAAACGTCACTGGTATTCAGATTGAACATATCGCATCCTGAAACCTTTAGCTCTTTACTTCTAAAGTTCGTGAAGAATCAGATCCCTTGTTGCTGGGGCTCGTCACTGGCTGCTTCCTCCCGCAGGAAATGGCTACATAACGACGGACGTGTTGAGGGAGATCCTGCGGGAGCTGGACAACAGGCTGACAGAGGCGGACCTGGACGGTATTATTGAGGAGGTCGACGAGGACGGCTCCGGCACCCTCGACTTTGATGGTGAGAGACAGAGAGAGAGAGAGAGTTAACACACACACTGTGCTATAACTACCCTGCCTCAGGTAGCACGCTAACCCAACATAGAGACACCATGCACAAACCACCTCTCTATAACGTATATATTTCTCGTTTCAGAGTTCATGGAGATGATGAACGGATAAGCGCAGGGTTTCAGCCTCTCGTATCTGCATCCCTTACAACCTTCCCCACACTCGCTTTCTTAACTTTCTCTCATATTTTCTCTCTCAGTTTTCTCACACTTGTTCTCTCATACTTGCTGAATATTCGCTTACTCTCTCTTGCTCATTCACTTATCAGTTCCATTTTCATTACTCATTATCATCTGTTTTGTGTCCCAGTGCTTACTGGTGAAAACTTGTTTATAATTGCAATGCTTTATGCCACACACGCATTAACTGTGCCTCATTAACTGTGACGTTAGGCAGCTTCCAAGTTAGTTCGTTGGGTTGGACGGTAGAGCGACGGTTTCGCTTCATGCAGGTCAGCGTTCAATCCCAAACCGTCCAAGTGGTTGGGCACCATTCCTTCCCCCCGTCCCATCCCAAATCCTTATCCTGACCCCTTTCAAGTGCTATATGGTCGTAATGAATTGGCGCTTTCCCTTGATAATTCCCTCCCTCGCTTATTTCCTGAGTTTGGCCACTCGCTTGTAGCTCGTTATTGCCTGGCTAAGCAAACCATCGTACAGTTTTATGCCAATATAGACCTTCCTGCAATACGCTTTGTAGGTTAGTAGGATCATAATATTGTTCCCTAAATGATGAGTTTAACGTAAATAATGTGTTGATCCCATGGAGATCATCTATGTCGTTCTGTGGTGTCCAGTCACTCAAGATGTTTAGTAAAAACGTTTCCTCTACTTGCTTATTCATCCATCCACCTTTTTTCTTTGTATTCCTCCTGCATTACAGTTTTCTCATTTCCCTGACATTATCTCATATTTCCTGCTGCTTTTCATATATATATATATATATATATATATATATATATATATATATATATATATATATATATATATATATATATATATATATATATATATATATATATATATATATATATATAATTTATGTTTTCCTCTGTCCGCCTCTAGGCTTTGCTGTTCACTGTGTTTTTGCTTCTGATTTCATGTGTTTATTATCAGTGTGGTTTTATTGTGTATTAATACCTTCTGTCGTCATCACAGGTCTAAGTCACACTAATGGGCTTCTCCAACAGATTTTAATGTTGTTATAGATCCAGCTACTTGGAACAAGTTGCAAGTAGCACGGGCTATGGTGAGGCCGTAGCTTACCTGGCACAGGAGCGGTGCCCTCAGATTTTACCTGTTTCAACTACAATGCTTTGCATGTTTTCTTTTCCCTCTGACGTAGCTATACTGAAGTTCTCTTTCTTAAGATCTTCTGACTTATTCTTCCTCTACGCAACTTTTATTTTACATTTTCGTTGCAGAGTTCATGGAAATGATGTCTGGATAGGATGGTACAGAACGTTTGACCCTCGTTCGAGCCCTTCCTAGCCTCTCGACCCTCATCTGACTGTCCTTGGAATATGTCCAGCCCGTCCTCTCGAGCGTTCTCAACGTCCCTAAATTGGTGTATTAAATTGCCCGAACCTAACCTAAGGATCCACGAATGGAAAAACGGGAGTTCATCAGATTTTGGCTTTAAGGGGGAGGGGACTTATACGTCAAAATGCGATGTACTATTCAAGAGGACGGGTTGACAGCTGCTGCCTCGTCAATCTTAATTCTCCCTCTCCGTCTCTTGCTTATTTTTGTGTGTTAACTGTACTCTCCGTGGCCCAACAAATCCACTTTCTCTTCTTTCTCATCTTTTATATGAATGTTTTATTTCGCTTGTCTGCCAATTCTGTGGCAGAGGTTCTTGCTGTCACCGCCCCAACAGTTATGACCCGACAAACACCAACAGCTGCAAACACCCCACACTGTGTCTGGGTCATGATGATGGCAGACGCCAGGAATTGGCTTTCAAAAGCGTCTCTGTTGCTAAGTTCATCGTCCTTCTCATCAACAGCGGATTATCTAAGTTGATTTATAAATATAGAATGACAAGTCTGGATATTTGTTTTCATTACCCAATTTGAAAGTATTATTATGTATAATTCTGTCAGCCTCGTGACGCAAGGAGTGGTTAGTTAGGAGTTAGTGTGATTAATGTATGATTTTGTGCTATAAAGTAGCCTCTCCTCTAATGTATAATAGAGTAGGTCTTCTGAAAAGAGTGATAACATGGCACTGCTATTTCCCAATAAAATGGAATAAAAAAATAAAGATGCACCCAGGGGAGGGAGCCGGTCGGCCGAGCGGACAGTACGCTGGACTCGTGATCCTGCGGTCCCTGGTTCAATCGCGGGCGCCGGCGAGAAACAATGGGCAGAGTTTCTTTCACCCTATGCTCCTGTTACCTAGCAGTAAAATAGGTACCTGGGTGTTAGTCAGCTGTCACGGCCTGCTTCCTGGGGGTGGAGGCCTGGTCGAGGACCGGGCCGCGGGGACACTAAAGCCCCGAAATCCTCTCAAGATAACGTCAAGAGGGGGCACGACTTTGTTCTTAAAACCACAAGAGAATTATATAGAAGGAATATCTACAGGTATACATATATAGACAGTCCAAAGATGGAATATACACATAGATGGTAACACATCAACTCTTGTTCATTTTTGTCACGTATAGTCCTGTAAACACAGAATCTATGGCATCATTATGTATAATATTGGCAAAGGGTACATTATAAAGCAAGCTTCTTATGCACCATATATACACTTATAGTGACGCAAGCCAAATTAATAACTACCAATGGAAAATCAACTTCATTCGACACACAAATAAACCTCACGAATATACCATCATGACCTGTGAGGTGCCAACCTCCCGATGAGCCGCCCAACACATCTTTAAGAACAGTAGAAGTTATATAATCCCATTTACAATTCACTAGAGTTCAATTGTGAGGGCTCATTGACCCAACTATTAAAAATGGTAACTAAGAAATGAAGTGGCACAAAATGGTCAATATAATCTCTGCCTAACCTCTAAACTATCATTTACGGGCTCACCATCCAACCCGTCCTCTTAAAAATAACGTCACTTTTGACTGGTATGCGCACTATGGCTAAATTTGGACGTAATTTGATATGAAATCGACTGACAAAAGTGACGTATTGTCCCGTTTTCTGTTTGAGTCGTCCGGCTTACTCTGCAAGGTTAAAAGAGGCAACTTTCCATTAACGTTTTTCATACCGTTTTGAAACTTTCTGAGAATTTTCTGCCCACCTAACCTATCAGAGGACCCTTAACTTACTGTTGTCGAAAAAAAAAATCCCAAATTTAATTTCATTTTTTTTTTCATTTTCAAATTACGTCCATATTTAGCCATACGGGCAAACGGCCAAAAGCGACGTTCTTTTTAAGAGGACAGGTTCCGTAGCCCGTGCTACATGGAAATTTCAGTTCCGAGAAGCTGAATCTAAAATAACAAACAACTCTAAACTCAAGTAAATAAAAGGTTAATTCAATCACCTCATACAATAACGCTTGCTGAAGAACAGTGCAGTCGACAGTTGCTTCCGCAGCTGTGGAGGGCCGTCGTGGCGTTCCTCATACTCCTCGACGCATGAGGTGACGACAACTCATGATTCCCGAAATAGTGAGGCTGTCTTTCATCCATAGGAATGCTCAGATACTCCTTAAAAAACACCTGATTTACTACCATGAAACCTTACCACAAGCCGATGCGTTTCACCGTTAACTGCCGCTAATTCGTGACCGCCAGTGTCCCACTGTCTGGTACTCTGATGAAGTAACTAGTCTAATGTTATCTTCTAGATGCTTTAAGGCCACTAGATGCTTGTTCTTGCATTGTTGCAGCCAGAGAATCCTGCAAATTCCGCCACTGTCTAGCAGCACCTCTCTCTCTCTTCAAGGTCAACACCACAACCTGACTTGCGTGTTTAGAAATCCAAAAGACCAGGGACCAGATTCACAAAGCGGTTACGCAAGCACTTACGAACCTGTACATCTTTTCTCAATCTTTGGCGGCTTTGTTTATAATTATTAAATAGGTAATGAGCTCCGGAGCACCAGGAGGCTGTTTATAACAATAACAACAGTTGATTGGCAAGTTTTCATGCTTGTAAACTGTTTAATATATGTAACCAAAGCCGTCAAAGATTGAGGAAAGATGTACACGTTCGTAAGTGCTTGCGTAACCGCTTTGTGAATCTGGTCCCAGGTCGCCCCTACACGACTTTCACAATGCATTACATTATCATCTCCTCAGATGTAATTGGCACCTGAGTATTTACAAGCCTTCAGACCGTTTGTGGAGTCGATGTTGATCTCTTGGTAAGAGATCTACTTGATATATAATTTGTATTTCCTCAACATAATGTTTATTTCATACTTCCTATTCACAAGGAGTGAGACGTTTAGTTAGCTTAATTAGTTTATTATGATGACCAAACTACACTTGATAATTGACAATCGATAATTGTCCAGGACGGACCCAAACGTCGTCGTCTCTTCCTCTTCTGGTGTGTGTGTGTGAGTTATTCATCATATTTTCAGCCACGTTATTGTGACTCAACATCTGAATAGTTTATTATGGACCCCTCCACCCCCCCCCCCACTCCTCCTATCCTTCATGCGGGTGAGGTGGAAGAAAGGCTGTTGTTGTTGATTGAGGGACGACGACGATCAAGGGATCGGATACGCCCAGCCCAGGCAAAAAGATGGCATTGTAACATAATGGGTTCAAAACCCTGAAACCCAGAATTTACATTTGTAGTGAGTTAATAACATATAATTTGATTTTTTACCCATGAACCCCACACATTGGGGTTCGTGTCCCATTAGACGGTTGGAACAAGCTTAGTGGGAAGGTTGTGGAGGCCAAAACCGTCAGTAGTTTCAAAGCGTTCTACGACAAAGAGTACTGGGAAGGCGGGACACCACGAGCGTAGCTCTCATCTTGTAACTACGCTTAGCTAATTACACTTAGGTGATTACATAGCCATCGAGCGGCGGCAGAGGAAAGATTACAATCACATGCATGTATCTCAAGTTTGCTTATCATATGGCAAGCGAACTTAAGATAATTGATCAAAATTTATGGTAGTGCAGCATTTGACAACCCTTGGAATATTTCATACTGGAGCTGAACCTGTTCAGACCATATAGGCAGGGTCTATATCGGGTCTCTGGTCTATATCTGGTCTCTGGTCTATATCTGGTCTCTGGTCTATATCTGGTCTCTGGTCTATATCTGGTCTCTGGTCTATATCTGGTCTCTGGTCTCGTCCAGTACCTCATACTTCTAATCTCCTCATAGTATTTAATAAATTAAAAACAAATATTCTTCAAAAATATTTGATGGAAAAAACTGAAAGCTGAAAAGAATATTCTAAATCACAGAAATAAAATGCCAAGAAAGGCATTTTAAAACAAGACGGTTAAAATAAAACATAGAACCACTCAAGAAAACAACAGAAAATAGGATTAGCAAGCCACTAAAACCCACGATGGAGTCCAGAATGTGCACGACCCGTAGAATTAAGACGAAAAGCCATCACCCCCCCCCTTCCCCCCCCTCCTCCCCCTTCCCCCCCCCCCCCCAAAAAAAAAAGACGTTCACCCTCCCAACACAACTGGATCAACTTCAAGCGGGCCACAGCAGCAGCCAAACAAAAAATATATCATCAGCAAAAGCGAGCGACATGAGCTGTACTCTGTGACACCCTCATATGTACTCGGGACCAAAGAGCCAAAGCTCAACCCCCCCGCAAGCTCAACTAGGTGAGTACACCCTCAACACCACATTCACAAATCTGGGCAACGTTCAATAGCATATATATATGTACATGCATATATATAACATTAATAATTGTGTAACTAGCGTCAAAAGATTGTTATGTGCTTAGCTAAACGAACTAAAGGGTTCAGTTCCTGAACCGATTATGTGCCTCTGTAACCCTTTCCAAACTGCCCACGGGATGGGTATGGGGTGCATAATAAAGAAAGAAATTTAATTCAATTGCATACCAAGTCGCCTCTGCCTTCCCTTAGTTTCCTCTCGTGATCAATGGAACACTCTACCAAACACCTTAAGAACGTGCATATCTTGCTGATTTATAAAAATTTGCTTTCTCGACCCACTGTCATCCAGGCCCAAGAACTCTTCCTCAGACAAGAAATTGAGCACGTGGTCCAACAGCCATGCCTGACAGCGACGACAGTTACATTTTAAGTGAACTACAATTAGCCCTAACCCACCTGTCACAAGCAAGACACCTGGGGGGTCAGATTCAGTAAGCAGTTACGCAAGCACTTACGAACCAGTATATCTTTTCACAATCTTTGGCGGCTTTGTTTACAATTATTAAACAGTTAATGAGCTTCGAAGCACCAGGAGGCTGTTTATAACATAACAACAGTTGACTGAGAGGTTTTCATGGTTGTAAACTGTTTAATAAATGTAACCAAAGCCGTCAAAGAACGAGGAATGATGTACACATTCGTAAGTACATGCGTAAGGACTGCATGAATCTGGCCCCTGGTGAGGAGGGGACTCCATATGCTCTCGTCAAATATATCCCATCTGCTGAACATAAACCCCACCTAAACCACTTCAACCTATGATGGTCACATGGAATTCCTCTCATCACGGTGGACTCGTATCACTATTCTCCTCTCCCTTAAACCAGGAAAGGATCCATCCCAACCGACCTCATACAGAATCAGCTCATTACTATGTTGCATCAGTAGTCACGGAAAGATTCGTGCACAACCGCCCCCAACTGCCATTCCAAGCCAGCTTCACACCGCAATATTTCACCGTTGACCAAATACTCTGCCTTGAGAAAGAAGAGATACTTCTCTTAAAAATAGCAAATTCTATATTGCCCTCTACCTAGTCCTCAAAGGGGCCCCCCTGACAGCATTCCTTATATCAGCTAAGCGCCCACGGCTTGGCACACAAGGAAAATTATTCTTATGGTTAAAATCCTACCCCACACATAGAAGCACCAAAGCTTACACTCAAGATGCTTCTCAGATGACAGTCCATTTAGAACGGGTGTCCGCAGGGTTCCATTCTCAGTCCAATCCGGTTCATCTTGCGGCGGACGCAGATGACCTAACACTGTTTAACTCTGACAATAGTCTACCTACCTCAGTATCCACAACACTCACAGTGCAATCGGGGCAACAAAATTATTCCTGAATTATTGTTAGTAATTACTATGCGAAATTTGGAGTATAAGTATCCTTCGCTGAGGACAACATTTGGTCGAACAGTATTGTGATGTGACCAAGCCATTATTTGAAATGCTTGAGTGGGGATTGTTGGAGCAAATGATATCATGTGCAATGTTATCGTTTGGTCATGTCCGTGGATGATCTGTTATTCCCTGCAAGCGTTGCAGTATGCGCCAACATGCTGAAGAATAACCTAATCATTTTAAATCAGTTCCGGAGAAAACCCATCTTCTCACCATAACTAGTGGCGCAGAAAGTGAACGTTCTTCTTCTGGAGAGGTGAACAATGTTCTTAGGCCAGCAGTGAACAAATGGCATAGTCCGTACACGTATTATTTTTACCAATCATTTTGATGTTAATGAATGTCCAAATGACACGAGTCTACTGCTTATTTGAGGGTCATTTGAGATAAGGCTGGTTCCTGCAAGCACCTTCAGCTCAGAAACAAGGGGAGATCTGTGGAAGTTCAGTAACTAAGGGGAACCATGTAAGTTCAGTAACTAGGAGGGAACGACCGTGGAAGCTCAGTAACTAGGAGGGAAAAAAAACGTGGAAGTTCAGTAACTAGGGGAGAACCATGAAAGCTCAATAACTAGGGTAGAACCATGGAAGCTCAGTAACTAGGGGAGAACCATGGAAGCTCAGTAACTAGGGTAGAACCATGGAAGCTCAGTAACTAGGGGAGAACCATGGAAGCTCAGTAACTAGGGTAGAACCATGGAAGCTCAGTAACTAGGGGAGAACCATGGAAGCTCAGTAACTAGGGGAGAACCATGGAAGCTCAGTAACTAGGGGAGAACCATGGAAGCTCAGTAACTAGGGTAGAACCATGGAAGCTCAGTAACTAGGGGAGAACCATGGAAGCTCAGTAACTAGGGGAGAACCATGGAAGCTCAGTAACTAGGGGAGAACCATGGAAGCTCAGTAACTAGGGGAGAACCATGGAAGCTCAGTAACAAGGGGAGAACCATGGAAGCTCAGTAACAAGGGGAGAACCATGGAAGCTCAGTAACTAGGGGAGAACCATGGAAGCTCAGTAACTAGGGGAGAACCATGGAAGCTCATTAACTAGGGGAGAACCATGAGTGCCAGCTGCAAAAAGAGCTAGCCAGGTTCACTGAAGACTCGGAAATAAAAAATAAATGTATGTTTTTAAGAAAACCAAAAATTAACCGTTTTAGGGGGATGCGTTGCTTTCCGCCATTCTGTATAGGTCCATAGAGTCAATAATTTAAAAATGGTTTCCCATAGTCGGAGACAGAGCGTTCCTTTACGCTTAGTGAGATCCTATTCTTAGCCAAGCAACCTCACAATAAGTTGCTTAACTCCTGGGCCCCTGTTTACTGCTAGGTGGAGAGATTCAACAGGTGAAAAGAAAAAGGTTGCCCAATCGTTTCTGAGCCAACTGCGCTGATCACTGCCAGGAACACGTAAGGACATTTATGGCACCAACGGATCAGACACAGATGGAAAAACACTTGTGAGAGAAGGGAAGGGTCACATCCCTTCAAGAGTCAGATCAAGATTAAGGGGAAAGTGCCAAGTCATTAGACTATATAGCACTTGGAAGGGATCAGGATAAGGATTTGGGATGGGACAAGGGGGAAGGAGGAATATGCAGATGATGAGTGACACTAACGTGACTGAAATATGTTGACCAGACCACACACTAGAAAGTGAAGGGACGACGACGTTTCGGTCCGTCCTGGACCATTCTCAAGTCGATTGTGGTCTGGTCGAAGGAGGAATATTTAACACAGTGGTGGTGCACCCTATGAGTGGTTCATGAAGTGACAATGTCGTATTTTAAGGGGGCGAACGTTCACTAAGGGGCAAAAGTGACGTTTATTTAGTGCTAGTTCCGTGATTGGCATGACTTATAGGTCGCCGGCCCGGCTTTAGTGCTCATTAAGGGAAAAGTAGCACCTTCTATTTAGTGACACGGAGCGAGGGACATGATAGTGACTGAGGGACACGTAAGGTGAAGTAACTTAGAGGTGAAGAGACAGGCAGTGAGCGACAAGTTAGCGGTGAAGGGACAGACAGTGAGGGACAAGTTAGAGGTGAAGAGACACGCAAGGAGAGACAAGTCAAAATCTGAAGGAATGAGCCGCGCCTCGGCGCCGGAATTTGTGCTCTAAAATAGTGTGGATAAAAAGGCGAGGTTGGGCGAGCAGGCGATCCACTTGCTGCGTGTGTGTCTTGGTGGGTGTGTGTCCATCCGCTCTTCTTCAGTCTCCCCTCACATCTCTCCCCTCACACACCCGTCAATATGGTGAGTCTCTCCCCTTTTTCTGTCTCTTCCCTCACACACCCGTCAATATGGTGAGCCTCCCCTTTTTCTGTCTCTTCCCTCACACACCCGTCAACATGGGGAGTTTCTCCCCCTCTCTTCTCCCCCCCCCCTCACCCCCTCTCCCCTTGTGTTCACTAGCCATTAGTTGTGGTGTATGTGTTTGGGCCGAATAACTCGCCCCAGCCTTACTAAGCCCTTCTCTGGAACCAGTTAAGAAAAGGGAATGGAAAGATTGAAAAGAAAGTTTAATACTCATACTCTTACTCATCCTGTGACTGAGGGGACCTCGTATACTCATCCTGTGACTGGGGGAGACCCCATAGTCTTCCTGTGACCGGTGGCAGAAAAGCTGCAGAATTGCATAATGGGTTCAGAAAATGCACCCCTCCCCCCCCCCCCTCCTTCGTTAAGTAACCTCGCATGCGAACGATTTACATCGAGATGAGAATTACCAGTAATCATGTTTGCCCTAATATGAACGTCTGGGAACACAAGTCACACTCTACACGAGACGGGTCCCTGAAGAACGTTAAAACCAACCTAATCTTCCTTAACCTAGCCTCGCCTAATCTAACCTAACCTATCCTCGCCTAGCCTAACCTAATCTAACCCCCAACACTGCCTAATGTAATCCATGACTAACCTATCAAATCTATATTACAAGCGGCTCAGTTAGCAAAAGGAAGCATAAAGTGAACTGGTGCCAGAAGGGTGTTTACTTTTTGTTTACAAAAAAGGGTGATGTGAAGGGGGGGGTGGTCCCTTTTTGTAAACAATATTGTCTTCGGCGCCAGGTACGTCGGGTGCCAAATGAGTTGTGGTTCATCCCCCGAAAATGCAGCTGAGGTCAGCCTTCAGAGGAGGAGGAGCAGGTGTACTCAGCTCACATTCTGATTAAGAGTTTGACCAAATGATATTTCTTTGCTTCTATTTACTGTTGTATATGTAATTTTTTGTGCTTGTATAAGGTAAATTAATTATTAAGAGGGAGCGCTAAGCTATTACGATTAAAAAAGTACTTGGAATGAATATGAGGAAGGGGGTGGGGAAGGATTTAGGATAGGACGGAGGAAAGGATTGGTGGCCCAACCACTTGAATGGTCCAGGATTGAACGCCGACTTGCAAGATAGCGAGGGCTGTCGCTTTGCCGTCCAATCCAAATGGTTAGGGATAAGACTGGGGAATTAAGAGAGTGTGCAAAGAGTAACTGCTGAGTGAAAGATTGAGACAGGGGTTAAGGAGTACACGAGTGATGGTTGGCAGACGCACTCTTCCAAGCCCTGAGAGATGCAGGTGAGAACGCCGGCGATGCGAGAGAGATTTAGAAACACCTGTTCTTCTTATTTGCAAAACCACTGGCCAGGCAACGAGAGGCAGGAATACGACCTCCCCGATAAGCAGTGTTGCGAGGCACGGAAGCAAATTCAGTGAGTGGATTTGTTTTCAGTGGGTGATACAATTTCATCCCCACCAACCCCCACCCCAGTGAGAGAGGGGGTGGAGTGTTATTTTCAGTGTGGCGTCTTGACGTTAAACCTCCATGTTTGACGATGCTAACAGGTGGCATGAGTGTAGAGGGCGCCTATATATAACACATCACCAAAACGTTCACTTTTCTATAATTTTATAGAGTCGGGAAAATAAATAAAGCAAAAAACTTTACCAAACATTCAAACCAAATATATATATATATATATATATATATATATATATATATATATATATATATATATATATATATATATATATATATATATATATATATATATATATATATGTACATATATATATATATAGGATTATTACTGAATTAAGATCATTGACGGTCATTGATTAAACACATAACATAATCATTTAGTGAGTTTTTTTAAGATCGTTGTAAAATGGTTATTAATAGGTGGGATCTTGATTGTGGAGGTATTGACCCTGAACTTTTGATTGCTATGACCTTGACTTTGATAGGTGTGACCTTGACTTTGATAGCTGTGACTTTGACTTTGATAGCTGTGACTTTGAAAATAAAGACAAAGAACCTAATTTTGATCTGAAAATAAAAGTGCCTAATATGGATCCCATATTCTAAGTTTTGAATTTCTTCAAACCCTTTATAAAACTTATAAAAAAAATCAATTAACTTCATCTGCAAGTTAAATTTTTGGTTATGTCCCTTTAGTTATGACTTTTATCGATGTGTGTACACATTTATCATATCTTACTTTAGCTCTACACAGCTCGAGAAAGTGTGCAAGTGTTCAGTGTTGCACACTTATCCTCCATGTTATGCATGGAGGATAACAAAGAAGATAACAAAGATTCCAAAATCCCAGGGAATTAGCTTTATCAGTCTTTGGTGAATGTTTCGAGTGAGTTCATATGTGTGCTTCCTGAACCATGGTGGCCATCGCTGCTCAGGATAAGCTAAGTTAGTTGTTACTAGGATAATTATTTGACAAACTGTAATTATTAAAGTAAAAATCGCAGATTTGTTCGTTTCGTGATGTCAAAATGGGCACCAAAAATGCGTGGCGAGTCTTGCCATATATTCACAGGAATATATTGAAGCACACATTGCATAGTCACACACATACACACATACACACATACATACATACATACATACATACATACATACATACATACATACATACATACATACATACATACATACATTACATACATACATACATACATACATACATACATACATACATACATACATACATACATACATACATACACACGTACATACGTAAATATATAATCACATAAGAGGGTCTAGCTCCTGATTCTTGACCTTGAAAGAACATTTTGGTGAGTACCCAAAATCTTGCGAGGAGGAGGAAGAGGAGGTGAAGGGGTTTGAGGAAGGGGGGTAGGGAGAAGAATGGAGGGAAGAGAGAAGGGAAGGAGATAGGAGGGGGAGGGGGGAGTAGGAAAGGGGGAGTTTTGAGAGAATTATCAGCCATTACGACTATATAGCACTGAAAAGGGATCTGGATAAGGATTTGGGATGGGACGGTGGAAAAGGAATGGTAGCCAACCACTTATGGACGGTCGGGAATTGAACGCCGGCCTGCATGAAGCGAAACCAGTCGCTCTACCGTCCAGCCCAAGTAGTTGGGGGGGGGGTGACAAGTGTTGGTCGGTGGACGGTGGTGTTACTCTTGTTTGGTTCAGTGGTTGGCCCTGAGTTGGCACTAAAAAGCCACACGGCATCTCTGGCACTCTCGGTGTTTTTCTGCTTTTTTTGTTTTGTGTTTTTTGTGTTGTTGTTGTTGAGTAGTGTTGCTTTAAGTGTACATGCTTTAGGTGTTTCCTCTACATCTGGTCCATCTCCTCTTTCCTGGCGTGTTTTGTGAGCGCCGTCTCTCATCTTTTGTGTGCTGCTTTATTGCACACTGTTTCCTTATTGGGTCAGTAAGGGTTTCTGAATTAAACAGAACCCTCGGTGTTGATTTATGGAAACGTTACGTGGTAACGAAATAGACGCTGGGGGCATCATGGTTGTTTCATGCGACGGTGAGACAAATATATCCATCCTGGGAGCTGCTACGTTAGTGAGGCGGCAGCTGGAGCCTTAGTACCAGTTGAAACAGATTTTGCCTCACATGAGCCCATCGTCATCCAATGATCCCTAAAAAGAATCCAACCCAGCTTACAGTACGTAAAAAACACCATCACCAAAAAACTCGCAAGCCTCAACAAAGCCCATCTACACCAGAGAGTAGCAGACGGTTCGCCTTCTGCAATATGGTATCTTCAGGCCACTAAGTTAGACAGGTTAAATATTCCAAAAGGAATCCACAGGGAAATAGCAGTTCGGTTATATAGACTACGTCTAGGTTACAGATGCAACTGGGAAATTAGTGAACCCCAGAGAGTGGAAATGCATCTTATGGCAAACAATCACAGAAAATCCACTACCTCACTATCTCCTGGAATCAGAAGCAACAAACGACCTTAGAAGAACTTTAAGAGTTCCCGAATCTTGCAGTAACCACCCTGAAGCCATCAACACTGCCAAACTTCTGGTCAAAAAAGGTGTCCAGCAGCTGGACACCCTAATAAATACTGTCAAGGAGTATCCTTCCCCGCAAGAGCAGCCACTGACTGATATACTGACACAGTATATCCTTTCACGACCAAAGATCAGATTCACTCCAAAAAATCTACCTCTTACGGGCTAATCATGCCCGTGCCACCTCTTGGGCGGCTTACTTTTTGTCAATCAATCAGTCATGAGCCAATAGGCTTTCTGTAGCTTCCTCGGCTCCTGGATTGTTTCAAGCGTAGCTGAGACAAATGCAGAGTTGGTGAGATTGGGTATAACTAGGACCAGCTTCGCACAGGCCCATAAGACTTTAGAAAGTCCTTCTGTTGTTATGTTCATATTAGTTTCATACAGTTGCTGACCCAGTTCATCCGGCAGTGCCACTATCCGACAGTGCCGTCAGTGGCCCTCTGTATAGCGTCCATTTTCTCCTGTCTTCATTACTGTCTTCTAATTCCTTCGCGGCTACTAATTGACTTTGGCACTCTTCACGTGGAGGTTATGTCCGGAACTCATTCTTAATTTTATCTGGGATTGCTCTTAGCATCGTTGCTCCGAGTGCAGCTAAAGTGCCCTTTGTCAAGGGCAGTCTCTACGCTTCTCGTTCACCTTATTGAGTTACCCAGACTACGATAAACACGACATAAAAAGAATTTTACTAGTTATTTTTTTTAGGCAATAAATTGCATAAATTTGTGCAGTTCTTTCAAAAATGAATTATTCAATAGAATTTGCATCGTATTTCTTATATGGAGAAATAAGTGTTATGAAATCAGAGAGAGAGAGAGAGAGAGAGAGAGAGAGAGAGAGAGAGAGAGAGAGAGAGAGAGAGAGAGAGAGAGAGAGAGAGAGAGAGAGAGAGATATATAGAGAGAGAGAGAGTATTATATATATATATATATCAGTATTATACAATTTGAAAATTTCTGTATTACCTGTTGGAGTTGGAGTACCTGTATTACCTGTTCATGTGATGAAAAATCTTGCTTCCGTTTCATACAGTCAAGCCAATTAAGTAAATTTTCATAATGCCTGGTTAAGTTACACATATCTTTGTTATCTCCCCCCTCCCCCCATTCCCCTGCCCTAACTCCTAATACCAACCACCCATTAAAAAGAAAAATTCCTCGAAACCATGAAACTTATATTTTCTTGTGATACCACCAACCACTAACACTCTGAAGTCTTTTTACCAACAAAACTAAAAATTATAAAAACATTTAAGAATACCCAAGCAAAACTTTCCCTATAAATCGATGTTGTCAAGGCTGGTCAACTTCGCTCCTCAGAAGAGATCAAATAACGACAAAAATCAAACAATTTTGCGACCCTGAGAGGGAGTTTGTGGTATGAACAAGTGCCACAAGTGCCAAGTGTCTTACATTCGTATCAGTGCCAGGAATTACCTAGACGTGACTCTCGCTAACAGCTAGTTTGGTTCACTGTTGGCTGGGGTTTATTTAGTTCTCTGTAGACCGGGTTTCCAACTCATTTGGTTCACCTCTTGGATGGGTCTGAAGCTTATCTAATTCAACTCAATTATCATGAAAATTATATATATGTATACTTATTTAATTCAACTAAATAACACACCTGTACATCATTCACAACACTACACCTGTCCCTATCACAATACAGTTATCTGCAGGTGTAACGTATTTAATATTAACATTATACAAAGTAATTACGTTTTATTAGTATTATGTATTTTGTTGCTTCTCTTTATGTTTGATTATTTTATTTATTTTTCTTTGGGGGGGCTTTCAGGCCTTTTTAATTTTTACTCATCTTTATTATTTTATTATTTCATATAATTTTATTATTTCAAATTGTTTGTTTTCCAGGATAAACTTTTAAGTTAATATTCTACTTTGAGTTTAATTCTAGTTGCCTACTTTATTAGCTTTACTTTTGTTAACGTTAATTTTGTTAGTTTTTTTAAAGGTTTTTAATATACAATTTTTTTAATTTTAAAGTTAATTCATTTACAGTGTTTTTAAGGTAAATTTTTGTCTAACCTATTTTAATTAGGTCCAATTATACTAACAATGCAAAATACCATTTCAGGACTTACTGGAAGAGGAACAAATTTCGGGTATGTCAGAGGCCCAGCAGCCTAGTGCATGTTATGGCCCCTACGTCCCGGGTCTCCCTCATGTGTACACACACACACACACACACACACACACACACACACACACACACACACACACACACACACACACACACACACACACACACACTCTTGAATGCACTAAGAAGTGAAGTGGTGAGTGCAGACTCCTTACACAGTTTCAAATGTAGATTTAATAGAGTCCAATAGGCTCAGGAACAACCACAAACTCACACAGTCCTCACTATACTGTAAACCAGGCAACTTTTACACCACACCCTCTATGGGACAATGATATGCTACAACACAACCACAACAGACATCCTGTCCAACTAATCGACAGCAAGGATTAAAACTTGCATTAAATATTAGTTGGTTTTAGTCCTCTAAACGTCCGTATTTGTTTTGTTTTGATGATGTAATGTTTTTTTTTTTTTGATGTGTGTATAAAGCGTTCTTGAAACCACTGTATTGTATTGCACCCCATCGTATCCCTGCAAGATGTTCAGTTCCAATGCAACACTGTTCTATTGCAAGTTCAAGAACTTCCGTGGGTAATTTCTCAATGAATAACTTTTCCCGTGTCATTTGTTAGTTCAATGTCCGATATTTAGTCTTCGTACGTGCTTTAATTTTGTGTTCTTGGAACTTATTAGTTCGAAAATAATCCAAGAAAACTTAATGTTTTCTTAAGTTAGTTTGTAATTTATTTTTTTCTTACAAAAGGTTTGGCTTATTAAGGGTTTAAGAAAACTGTAACTCGTTGTGCTTGGTCATTTGAGTTTACTGATGATCAAACAGTGGGTGACGTTGGCTAGTTAAGTATCCCCTAGTTGTGTAATAGTATGCCATATATTCATACTGTTAATCAGTTATTTTAATTGTTTTAAAACTTATTTTTAACATTTTAGTTTCCTTAAAAACATGTATACTTCTATTTCGTGAAAAACATCATTAGGCATTTTTCATTGTCAGTTCCCACTAAGATTCAAGTTTAGTACTCACCTAATTGTGCTTGCGGGGGTTGAGCTTTGGCTCTTTGGTCAGGTGTTCTGACCAGTGTTCTGCCACTGACATAGGCTTCGTCTTGCAGCACTCCAGAAGGCGTTCGATTCCTTCGACACGGACAGCAAAGGCTTCATCACCCCGGAGACAGTTGGCATCATCCTGAGAATGATGGGTGTCAAGATTTCCGAGAGGCACTTACAGGAAGTCATCTCTGAGACAGATGAGGATGGTAAGGCGAACTTTGAAGCGCTTCTTATATGTAAATATGTTATTTCTAAATTGCTCTCCTTTCCCTTCTCTTTTTTTTTTTTTGGGGGGGGGGGTTTGTTTATTTCTTCATCAACCATCTTTCGTTCCTTTGTTCTCTTTTCTATATCCCATTCATTAACGCTCTTCACACTACATTCTGCCTCCTACATTTATCATTATTCATTATATTTGAGCTATGGGTTTAGTTCCCAAGCCCATAATGTGGCTCTTTAACCTCTCCCACTACGTCAACAGGATGGGTATGGGGTGCAAAATAATTGAACAAATTCAAAATATCTCTTCCAGCAGATCTTTCTGAATCTTGCATTTGTTATCTCTAAATATCTGATGCCTGCCTTAAATTCCTCCTTTTAGTGAGCCATTTTCTTAGGAAGTTCAGAGCAGACTCTGGCTCTGAGTTTGGTTTCGTGAATCCTTGATCTATATAATAAGTATTTCTGAAATTTCCAATTGTGATTTGAATTAGAAGTTTCGTATGTATTGATGAAATGTTTCAGAAACGCTGATTGTATTGTCTCGTGCACAATTACTTTCACAAAGCACTTCTCTAATCTTTCCTAAATCTCGTCTTGTCCAATGTAAATCAGTTGTTATGATTTTTCTCTTCAATTGTAAATTTCAGCACCATAGTGATATCCAATTTTTTTGCAGTTTTTCATATATATATATATATATATATATATATATATATATATATATATATATATATATATATATATATATATATATATATATATATATATAAATGCTATGCCCAAGATTACCATCCGAGTGCCGGCGGGGAAGTGGTTCAAATAGCTTCGGCTATCACTTCCTTATGTCCGGTCGTGATGGTCAAGCAGATTAAGGCGTCCCTGTACATACCAGTTGCGTTGCTCCTGGCAGTATGGGTTCGAGTCACTTCTGGGGTGTGAGTTTTCAGTTGTATATAGTCCTGGGGACCATTCAGGCTTGTTTGCATTTGTGTTCCTCACGTGTGCCCCAAAGAATGAGGTGATTTGATAAAATGCTATGCCCAAGATTACCATCCGAGTGCCGGCGAGGAAGTGGTTCAAATAGCTTCGGCTATCACTCCCTTATGTCCGGTCGTGATGGTCAAGCGGATTAAGGCGTCCCTGTACATACCAGTTGCGTTGCTCCTGGCAGTATGGGTTCGAGTCACTTCTGGGGTGTGAGTTTTCAGTTGTATATAGTCCTGGGGACCATTCAGGCTTGTTTGCATATATATGAGGTGATTTGATAAATATATATATATATATATATATTATATATATATACGCCAGTGTTGTTGTTGTATATATATATATGGTTTTGCAACTATATATATATATATATATATATATATATCTCACAAGGAAGTATGGCAGGTCCTCATCAACAATTTACACCATTAGTAAGGGAATGAGGAGGTAAGGGAGGATGCTGCCTCTTCCATTCCCAAAAACATGTTGCCTCATTTTGTGTTAATATATTTGCATTATGAAGCTCTTTTATGCCTGGGCTTATCTTTATCAGCCTCCTCTACATGATTTCTAGAGTTTATGTCCATTCTGTAGTACATTTACCTTAACCGTCCAGCATAATAAAGCTAAGGCAAAGTATAAATATTTGGAATGAGGCAAATAAAAACCGGTATTTATTTTTAGAAGCAGTAGCAATAAAAAAAACTGGTGTTATTCTTCAGCTCTAGTTAGGCCCCATTTAGATTATATAGTTCAGTTTTTGGTCGCCATATCATAGAATGGAGATTAATTCACTTGACTACACCTAGTGAATGCATTCAGTTGAAGAATGACAAAGTTTATCCCGCAAATTAAATATTTTCCAAATGAAGAGGGATTAAAAAGCTTAATTTACATTCTCTAAAATGTGAATAAAGAAGGTATTAAATATATCAGCTCAAGATAAAACACGAAACAAGGAATATGAATTGGATAAGTTTAGATTTCAGGAAGACCTGGGTAAATACTGGTCTGGAAGCAGGAATGTTAAGTTATAAAACAAATTACTTAGTAGCATATTTGGCGTAGAATCACTTGATTGTTTCAAGCGTAGGTTAGATATAGTTATTAAAGAGTTTGGATGGATATGAATAGGAGCTGCTTATGCAGTTCCATTTGTTATGGATATTTTCCATTTCATAATTTTAAATACAGTTTCAAATAAATGTTTATAATCCTCTCTAAAAAACATAAAAAATCAACAGTAGATTTTTATGAAAAACTGCGGTGTTTAATTATACTCAAAGGTTTTCATCAAGTGGAAATTTTAGACATGAAAAATTTATGTCTAAAATCCCGTAAAAATAACCTAATGTCTATGTCTAAAATCACGTGAAAATAACGGGATGTTTATGTCTAAAAATCATGTTATGGACGACGCCTAACCTGCCGCTTGCTCCTCAGGATCTGGTGAGATTGAGTTCGAGGAGTTCGTGCAGCTGGCCGCTAAGTTCTTGAGTGAGGAGGACGAGGAGGCGCTGAAGAAGGAGCTCAAAGAAGCTTTCCGTATTTACGACAGAGGCGGTAAGTCACCGTATTTACGACAGAGGCGGTAAGTCACTTTCCTGCCAGACTCCTCGCTCATAACGCTACCCGACCAGACAGAAGTATATTAACGGTGAGAATACCAGACTTGTGTGATAATATAATACTTGGAATGGAATACAAGAACAAATCACATGAGCCATCGATGAATGTAGAAAGTTGTATTCATTTAACAAATTAAATTTCGCAGATAACCAAGCCACATTCCAGGTCCTTGCATGGGACTCAACATTTAACGTATCCTCGCATCAACTTGTTATATATCACCAGTTTCAAGCACCAAGCGAATAAATGCAAAAAGAAGACATTAAGCCGAGAAGAGATCACCAAATTGATGATAATTTCACATATATGTGATACGTTATCAGTAGCATGCATTTTTGTGTCAATGAGATCTATATGATATCATAGTCAATATCAGGGAATAATATTAACTTGTGCAATGAAACCCTTAGTTACGAGGAACATGTAAGGAAAGAATATGGCAAGAGATCTTGCAAGTATTGCAGTCACAATAACGTAGTTGAAGAGATAGTCATTCAGACTAGCCTAGAGCTAGGCTAGTCTCTAGCCTAAATGCGAGACTAGGACAAAAAGGACGAGGCACGTTGGTAGGTGTACGTTGGGGATGATGATGATGTTGATGATGATGATTGATAGTGACGCTGGTGGGTCAACACCGCAAGACACACTGAATAGTGACAAGCATCTTGAATTTTAACAAACCCCAAAATATTTTACAAACACTACATACAATTAATTACAATACTTCGTCAATTGATCTAAGGAATAATATGAGCTTTTTGGAATTCCAAATCCAGGGCCTTGACTTTAGTTATTTTTTTATTTTTTAATATGTATATATATCGCAAAAAAAAATATTCCTTTAACTCATTATTTTATCTTTGAACATTTCATAATTCATTTCCCCGAACCCTTCCTTGCCTAACAAACCATCTATCTACTCCGGCAGGTAACGGCTACATCACCACGCAGGTGCTGAGGGAGATCCTGCAGGAGTTGGACGCTAGGCTCACTGAAGATAACCTCGACTGTATCATTGAGGAGATCGACGAGGACGGCTCCGGAACCATTGACTTTATGGGTAATGAGAGAGGACAGATAGGGAAAAACGGAGAGAGAGGCGAAGACAGAGACACTAAGACAGAGATTGCGTCAAAATGAGACACTGCAATGCAGATCAGTACAATGTTCAACAGTCCAAGTAAACTGAAATTAAGAATGTATATTTTGGGGTTTTCACTCAAGGTCTTGAGATAAATTAACGCTTGTTATTTGTGCCTCCAAAGAAATGCATATGCAGAAAGGTCTTAATAGAGTTTTCTCTTAAGAAGCTCTATCGAGAGAATATAAATTAGGTAAGGTTGGGCTAAAGACCTATCAACCATGGAAGGGTTATTAAGGTCACAGCATTAGCTAATGACTAACCAGCAAGCATACTCTATAAGCTTGGACTTCTTGTGTGATGCTAATTGTAGTATTTATTTCGTCAGCTGCACTCATAGCTGCGTATCTTTTTGTTTTCAGAATTCATGAAGATGATGACGGGATAAGTTTGGTATCTTAAGTCTGGCGTACCGGTCTGGACGTCATACGCCAGCGTCCAAAGTCTAGTGCACCGGTCTGGACGTCACGCGCCACTGTCCAAGCCTAGTGCACCAGTCTGGACGTCACACGCCACCGTCCAAGCCTAGCGTACCGGTCTAGACATCACGCGCTACTGTCCAAGCCTAGTGCACCAGTCTGGACGTCACGCGCCACTGTCCAAGCCTAGCGTACCGGTCTAGACATCACACCACCTTCCTGATCACCAATCACGCATACATTCACTCTTCACATCCTCCCCGCTTCAAACTTCAGGCAAACATTTGTTGCCTTGTAAATTAACTATGTGACATGAGGAGAAAATATTTTTGTTATGCAACTCTCTCAGGAAAAGGCCCGTTGCATATAGTTTTTAGCCTTCGTCTGAGAGCAATTTGCATTTTCAAAATGCAAATTATTTCCACTATACCAGCTGATTACCGGGACAAGAGGCATCCGAAACTACTAAACTGTTTCTAAATGTTATTACAAGTTCTCTTGGGCATGTTTTAGCTTCGTTTCACAGTCTAGAAGACCGAGTAACATTATATGTATTGCTACCTGTATGAAAGAGTGTTTATGTATAGCCTCGCTTCAATCATTTTTAGATAAATTTTCATCTTGAATGTATTTATTTTCACGAATGGATTTTAAAAATAGTGACTTTATTTTCAAGGTTATTGGATGATGGAAAGATTTGTGGGGGGTTTGTTTGTCTGTATAATGCTTGCGTGCTGCCATTACTGTTATTAAATATATATAACTATAGGTGTAATCTTTCTTGGGAAGTTTTCAGGAGGTTCGTTAGGTTAGATATGCTCCCCCTCTATACATTACCGACATGTTGATAACCACCAGTGTAGGGACGCTAACGATGCCATTACAGCTGTGTGCAGCTCATAGCCACTTCCTTCTATTGCCTTGTTCCAACTCCCTGTTATATATGTTATGCCTTACTACTCTTAGCTCTTGCAAACTACTAACATATCATGGAGCCTTGGTGCACCAGGATTCCCCTGGATAATTTGACAATTTGAAGTGTAAGTTCACTTATTTGCTTCCCTCTTCTTTGCTTCCAATCACAACACTACAAATATCAAAGGGACTCAATTGTCTTCATTACAAATCTGGGTAAATGATGGTCATGTAACAAGGAACCAATCTTGACAATGCTGATTCAACATTGATTTAAAGTTACAGAAGCATTTTTTTCTGCTCCCTGGGGCACCATATTACAATCTTCACTCACGACGTCGGTCGTGAGTGGAGATCGGTAACAGAGTTCTAGAGGAAAGACTACTAATATAGAATATGCTCACTCATGGCTGTCCATATGGGAGGTGATAAATCAAGAGGAAAGATACACTATACAACTTCCGATTTCATGTGCTGTTCAGGAACATATTCAACACTGAAATTTCACTCTTTAAATCAATACTCAAAAAAAAAAAAAGTGACTGAAAACTTTTGTAGCCTTTTAAGGGGTCCATATCGGCCTCAAACACTTTTTATAACACTGATGTAGATATACAACTTAACAGAATTGAAACCAGGCTTTCTTTTAGCAATACCCCTCGTTATAATTTTTACTATAATATATGTTAACTACTCATATTTATCGTTTTAAATCCTCGTTTGGGATTATATTTTTTCTTTCTTATTCCCCTGAGTTGAATTAATCTCTACTAAATCGTGTTCTCCTTTTCAACGGATTTAATATCTTATGCAGATTAATCAGTGGTGGCTCGCGTACTTATTACTACTAAATTAATCCTTTCCGAAAGACTTTCTCATTAGAAATGAATTAATCGCTGCCAGTAGATTATTAAATCCCTAAGGCTTGTTGGATCGAGTATAACTGTTTTTCAGTTAATTTTGTAAACAGCTCGAAGATTATTATTCTTTTAAGAATATATTGGATTCATTGCTCCTTGAATTTTTTTTTTACTCTTTCGTTGGCTATTCACTTCCTGAAACTTGTTTAATCCTTATTTTGTTTACTCACTGTAACTTGACTAATCGCTTATAGCTTGCTCACAGCCTGAAACCTAAGTATTCGCTTGTAAATTGCTCACTGACTAAAACTTGATTAATGGTTTGCAACTGCTGACTTGCGGAAACTTGAGTTGATATCCAACCCACAATTGAAATTGAAGAAACGACGACGTTTCGGTCCGTATGGACCATTATCAAGGAGACTTGATAATGGTCCATGACGGATCGAAACGTCGTCGTTTTTACATTATCTAATGTGTGGGTTGGATTTCAACTCTTCAGCCACGTTATTGTGACTCATCGTCTGCGATGAGTCTTGATTTGTAACTATTCATGCAATGCTTACTACCTAAAAAAACATGTTTTGATCTCATATACCATGAAATTTGATTGATAGTTTAAACTTGAAACGATTGATAGCTTGCAGACTGCTACTATTATATATATATATATATATATATATATATATATATATATATATATATATATATATATATATATATATATATATATATATATATTTATATTTATTATTAACAGCATAGTGCTGGCCTGTATACTGATTACATTTTCCCTGCATAGAAGTTTATTATTTTAAAGATTTCAAATAAGTTTTGATTTAATTAATGCTACTTAGTTTGTCCTTAGATTCCCAGGCGTAATAGTTTGGTGATTCACACACACACATAATCACTTATTCTTTCTTAGCACCAAGCAGGGTTTTTTTTTTGAGGAGTTGGGGCGATAGGGAAGGCATCAGGATTTTCTTCTGGTGTCAACTTTTTATTGCTTTCTTTTAACTTTCTGTTCTTCCCATCATCTCTCATCTCATTTCATAACGTTTGATCGTGGCATTTTCCTCCACTTGTGGAATCGACGATAGGGTTCAGCTGGTGTGTGTCTAACGAGGCAGCTGGTTCGTGTAAACGAGGCAGCTGGTTCTTGTAAACGAGGCAGCTGGTCCTTTGTTAGCGAGGTAGCTGGTCCTCGTTAGCAGGCAGCTGGTCATTGTTAACGAGGCAGCTGGCCCTTACTAACGAAGCAGCTGGTTTTTGTTACCGAGGCAACTGACCCTTGTTAACAAGGCAGATGATATTAACAAATTTTCTTTTAGTTTTCTTTTTATTTTTTCGACATTTTTGTAACCAAAATTTTATTGGTTTAATTTCATCTTCGCCATATCTAATTGATGAATTTGTTATAACCAATTTCTAAATTGCATGGCCAAAATTGGTTTTAGCTAAGATTCCAGTGGCCAGTTCTAGTTCATGGCCCATTGCTAGGCCTGGCTTGTGAAATCAAAATTTTTTCGATGATGCATCAACTATCCATCATCAACACCTGTGTATCGAAACTGTCTCAATAAAGGTGATGATAATTCTTCCATGTATTTTTATCACCCAAAGTATTTGGTTACGTTCACTGGATAAGTAATAGCTTAAGCTACTCTATCCTTTTTTAAATGTGTCTAATTGTCTCAATAAATGTATTTGAACTTGGTACACTACTGACAACGGAATGCAAGTATTAGGAGAAACTGCTAAGCCAGACTTCTAACTCACCAGAGAAATCTTAACAAGCAGCACAGAAATGATCCGACAGACACAACGACAACAGGAGACTCGACATCAGCGAGGCCCTACACATCAAAAAGTAAAAACCAGCAATCAACAGCCAATTAACACATAATTACATTCTACCCACTTCAAGACCCCGAGCCAATACGCTAAATGGTGTACCAAAAACACGCAATGGTGTACCCATTAATTCACTTGTTCATCTCAATCATGTCCTGTATTACCTCACCCCAAGCGAATATAAGCATTGACAGAGTATGTAAAATTGTCTTTGAAAATGCAAGAAGTGTCTTGCGAAACGCTTCTAGGCGTCAGACCATAAATAAAGTGTGAAAATGAACTTTGGAGAGTTAATTTTTCAGCTACCCTCGACAATGAAGGAAAAACATAAGAAATGTTGAGAAAATCAAAATCAAAATGTTTATTCATGTAAAAATACATACATAGAAGAAGAGTTACAAACATAATGTTGGATTTATAGATAGATCTATATTATATTATATTACACTATATATATATATATATATATATATATATATATATATATATATATATATATATATATATATATATATATATATATATATATATATATAATCCTATATATATATATATATATATATATATATATATATATATATATAATATATATATATATATATATATATATATATATATATATATATATATATATATAACAATATATATATATATATATATATATAAATATATATATATATATATATATATATATATATATATATATATATATATATATATATATATACATAAACGTATATACCACGACTCCTATTTCATGACATTGTTATTGTGACGAGTGTATTGGGCTAAGAATCATCTTAAGAGGCTTCTAACTCCCCCGAATTAAATCATCTAGTTCCTCCCGACGTCAAGATTGATCTCACAGAAGCCAAATCCCTCTGAGGTCCTCTGGGCCAAGACTCTCTTGTGTTTCAGCGAGATATGTTGCTTAATACCTTGAAGACAACGCCTTCTTGACGCAATCCGGAATCCCGCGGGCTGACGGAAATAGCTGGGCCCGTTTCCTTTCACTTAATGCCTCTGCTCATTATAAAGCAGTATATAGGTGCCCCGGGAGTTAGGCAAGTATATTACGGGCTAAAATTGTATTAATAATAGTGTTATTATTTATTATTATTATTATTAACAATTGATAACAAAATAATATTATTATTATTTTTTTTTTTTGAGATATATACAAGAGTTGTTACATTCTTGTACAGCCACTAGTACGCGTAGCGTTTCGGGCAAGTCCTTAATCCTATGGTCCCTGGAATACGATCCCCTGCCGCGAAGAATCGTTATAATAGATTATTATTTTGCCGAAACGCTGTGCGTATTAGTGGTTTTAGGTATTGTATGTACTAGCTCTATCTATAAATCCAACACTATGCTTCTAACTCCTCTTCTATATATGTACTTTTACCTGAATAAACATTTAGAATTTTGAATTTGAATTAACAGTCTACAGGCGCTGCTGTTTCTTGAGAGATATATTTATGTTCCTCCTGCAACGACGCGAGATTTATCGTTTTCTCTAGTTTATTTAGAATTTCCGCTTTCTTTGATGGGATACACGAAAAAATAAATAGTGGACGGTGGTGGTGAGCGCTGGTATTTACCTAACAAGGATCATGTCCCACCTACTAGCCTAGTTGCGTGTATGTGTGTGTATTCACCTAGTTGTGCTTGCAGGGGTTGAGCTTCAGCTCTTTGGTCCCGCCAGTGTGTGTGTGTGTGTGTGTGTGTATACTTACCTATCATTCACAATGGGGAAGTAATGCTCTTCATGCCTCCGCCATTTAGCGTTGTTCTACCTGCTGCATAATAATTCAACTATTCTTTGTCAAATCTGGCATAAGAACTGTGTCAACCTTGATGATTGATACTATTTATGAAAATAATGGTTTATAGTAATAACTGAAGACTGCAACATTGCGAGACTCCTAATTATATATATATATACTACCAGCGTTTGTTCATACACGCAATGAACAATGAACAATTCATGTCAACGAAACAAATATGTGGCGAGTTGTAGACTTTCCCGAACAGGCATATATATATATATATGTATATATATATGTATATATATATATATATATATATATATATATATATATATATATATATATATATATATATATATATATATATATATATACCTAGTAGCCAGAACTCACTTCTCAGCCTATTATGCAAGGCCCGATTTGCCTAATAAGCCAAGTTTTCATGAATTAATTGTTTTTCGACTACCTAACCTACCTAACCTAACCTAACCTACCTTTTTGGGCTACCTAACCAAACCTAACCTATAAAGATAGGTTAGGTTAGGTTAGGTAGGGTTGGTTAGGTTCGGTCATATATCTACGTTAATTTTAACTCCAATAAAAAAAATTGACCTCATACATAATGAAATGGGTAGCTTTATCATTTCATAAGAAAAAAATTAGAAAAAAATATATTAATTCAGGAAAACTTGGCTTATTAGGCAAATCAGGCCTTGCATAATAGGCTGAGAAGTGAGTTCTGGCTACTAGGTACGACATATATATATATATATATATATATATATATATATATATATATATATATATATATATATATATATATATATATATACTACAGCCGGTTTACCTTGCTTCTCAGTGAATATGTATTGAGGGTTAACTTTTTAGTCCAGGCCTATTGTGCAACTACAATAATTTCTTAACTCTTGCATATCTATTTACTGCAAGGTGAACAGGAGCTTCAGGTAAAAGGAAGGGTGCCCGACTATTTCTGTCCCACCTTGGGATCGAACTCAGTACAGTCAATTGCGAGTCATAATGTTTTTCCCGTGATTGTACGCTTCCCTTCTTGCTTTGAGAATCATAAATATTGATTAAAATAGACAATGTTCCAACAGTACGGGGAAAAACGTTTCCATCACTAACGCCGGTGACACACATAAACTGGATATCATCGGCAGCATATGAGGTGCTGGCAAACATCCCAACTGCATTAAAAAATCCGAAGACTCAAGGGGTAACTACGCCACCTATGTTAGACCAATACCGAAATATGCAACGCCTGCCTGGAATTAGTACCAAGTGAGGTATTAAACAAAACAAAAGTTTAAAAGTGCAGAGATTTGCAAAGTGATTATAGCCAAAACTAAGAGGGTTACGAAGAGAGGTTCAGAGAACTAAATCCCACAATCCTAAAAAAAGAGAAGGAATTAAGAGGAATTGATCACAACATACATAATACTGAGGGTGGAATAGACAATTAGATAGACTAGGAACGCCTCTTTAAATAGAGATAGAGTAGGACTAGAGGATAAAGAACTAGAAACACAAATGATTCGAAGTAATATCAGGAAATACCCGCGTCTTATATGCATGGCCAACAAGTGGAACACACTGAAGGAGGAAGTTGTGGAAGCCACCTCCATCCATAACTTCAAGGCCAGATGCAACAACCATTTCCATCATCAGAATAGCTAAATGATAACGCAACGGGTACAGCCAGGAGTTGAACTAGGCTATTGATCTAGGTTGTTGATTGCTGATGTAGGGTGCCGGTTGATCTAGAGTTGATCTTGGCTGGGCCTAGAGCCCTCATTTCCATGTGGTCACTGATAGCTAAATACTCAGGGGCGTTAGAAAAAAACTTTTTCAGCGTCAGAGTAGTTAACAGATGGAATGCCTTAGGCAGTGATGTGGTGGAGGCTGACTTCATACACAGTTTCAAGTGTAGACATGATAGAGCCCAGTAGGCTCAGGAATCTGTACATCAGTCGACTGACAGTTGAGAGGCGGGACCAAAGAGCCAGAGCTCAACCCTCGCAAGCACAATTAGATGAGTACAATTAGGTGAGTACTTGTGCCAGCAGGCAGTGAACTGGCGCCACCACGAGTATGATGATGTATGGATCATTGTATGTTGAATAATTTGATGTTTGGAGAATGTGCGCAAGTTAGAACACAAGAGGTGTATGACAGGTGAGTATACGTATGTTGGAGTATTACAATCACACTATTGTGATATGAATACAATCAAACACTATGAGTGTGTTGTACAATAATTATCAATATTTTAGTGACATACATTTACCTGAATTTACCAGACGGCCACCATCTCTACCGACCTCTGTGGGGACAGGAAGCCGGCGGGAGGTCAAAGGCAAGCAAGCAGGCAGGCAGTTTCACAGGTTTATAACCCTATGGGTGAAAAGGCATCTCCTTGTTTTCTGTCCTACTTTGTGGCCTGTTAGGTCCATCGAAATTCCACTTGGCCAACGACTGATCTTCCCCTGGATGCATACCACAACAGTTGAATAACTCACGGGGAACCTAATTACTGTTAGGTGAACAGAGATATCAGGTGAAAGGAAACGTGAACCAACGTCTGGTCGTACCCGGGAATCGAACCCGGGGCCACTAGGTAGAGAGCTGACGGCGCTGGCTAATCCTATTACTCGGAGACGAAGCAACAGAGTTTCAGAACAGTTCTAAATCTCTTACGATAAGGAATCTACCGAATGCTTCCATTATGTTCAGTTTTGAAGTTAGTATTATTTTTTTGCATTATATCTATTTACACTATATGTGTTGTTGCTAAAATAGAAAAAAAAGTTCTTTTATTCCAGCTCCTTCTCCTCATAGCAGCTGGGGCAAGAGGACTTTCTAGTGCTATATATTCACGCTGGCATAACCCTTACTCCACAGTTATAGCCCCGCTCTTGTGCCAGGTAAGTCCACTACGGGCTCACCATAGCCCGTGCTACTTGCCCCGCTCCTGTGCCAGGTAAGTCCACTACGGGCTCACCATAGCCCGTGCTACTTGCCCCGCTCCTGTGCCAGGTAAGTCCACTACGGGCTCACCATAGCCCGTGCTACGCCCCGCTCCTGTGCTAAGTTACGGGCTCACCATAGCCCGTGCTACTTGCCCCGCTCCTGTGCCAGGTAAGTCCACTACGGGCTCACCATAGCCCGTGCTACTTGCCCCGCTCCTGTGCCAGGTAAGTTACGGGCTCACCATAGCCCGTGCTACTTGGAACTTGTTCCGAGTAGCTGAACTATAACAACAACAACAACCCTTACTCTTCACAAATACCTCCCTATACCTTCTACGCATAAATTTATCTCGGGGGAAAAAAACTTAATAGCCCACTAAAAAGGAAAGTGGAGCAGTTGATGGTAATTAAGCCCACAGCGGCTGAGTGTGGAGTGACCGCGGGAATAATATACTGCAAGAGCCACGGTCCCCTCGACCCCCCATCACACACCACTAAATATTGCGCTCCTCCCTTTGTGGTGGACCATTGTGTCGCCAGGCTTTTGTGTTGACAAGTCACGCGCACCAACAATGGCAGGTATGGGGGCTCACCCTCACTACACACTCGTCACTGTTCCTACGCTTACTGGCGTATCTTCACTACACTCTAAACTGGTAGTTGGGTATTGCACACACGCACACGCACAAAGGTGTGTGTGTATTCAGCTATTTGTGCTTGCGGGGTTTGAGCTTTGTCTCTTTGGTCCCGCCTCTCAACCGTCAATCAACTGGTGTACAGGTTCCTGAGCCTACTGGGCTCTGTCATATCTACACTTGAAACTGTGTATGGAGTCAGCCTCCACCACATCACTGCCTAATGCATTCTACCTGTTAACTACTCTGACACTGAAAAAGTTCTTTCTAACGTCCCTGTGACTCATGTGGGTACTCAGTTTCCACCTGTGTCCCCTTGTTCGCGTCCCGCCAGTGTTGAATAGTCTATCCTTGTCTACCCGGTCGATTCACCCTGAGGATTTTGTAGGTAGTGATCATGTCACATTTACTCTTCTGTCTTCCAGTGTCGTAAGGTGCATTTCCCGCAGCCTTTCCTCGTAACTCATGCCTCTTAGTTCTGGGACTAGTCTAGTGGCATACCTTTGAACTTTTTCCAGCTTAGTGTAAAAGCCTTGTGCTTGACAAGGTACGGACTCCATGCTGTGATGTGATGGTTTGGTGTGATATCAACTCCTAGATCTTTCTCTCTGTCCGTTTCATGAAGTACTTCATCTCCTATTCTGTATCCTGTGTCTGGCCTTCTGTTTCCACCGCCTAGTTTCATTACTTTGCATTTACTCGGGTTGAACTTTAACAACCATTGTGTGTGTGTGTGTGTGTGTGTGTGTGTGTACTCACTTAATTGTGCTTTCGGGGGTTGAGCTCTGGCTCTCTGGTCCCGCCTCTCAACCGTCAATCAACTGATGTACAGATTGCTGAGCCTACTGGGCTCTGTCATATTTACGTTTGAAACTGTGTATTGGAGAGAAACTGTGTGTGTGTGTGTGTGTGGGCGCATGTGTGAAAATGTTCAATAGGGAAGTGACCAAGTAGGGAGTATTACAGCAAGTACCCAAGGAGAAGGAGGCCATGGAAAAAGTACCCAGGAAGGAATTACCCAGCGTGTCAAAAGTGTCGGACAAAAAATAAAATAAAAATTGCACTCTTAAGGAGTCGCCAAACAAGGAAGCAACCGAAGGATGAAACCAGTCATTAATTAAGTAGCCAATGAGGAAGTAGTAAGGGACGCTAGCAAGCTAGTATATAAGTAGGAAGTACTGTACTTCTCCCCCACACCCCCCTCCCCTGCCCCCTGGCCAAGGGCCGTCCGACACACATGTTCTCAACCGAGGAAGAATCTCATTTTAGATTTACATTTTCTTTTAACCAGGCAGACTAATCTAGGTGATCAGTCGTCCTAGAATCTTGATCTGAAACTTTTCCTTGATAGGTGTAATAGAACCCATGTAGTCGTCCTAGAACATAATGTACACATTTTTTTTAAATAAAATATGAATAGGTACATCAGACTTTTTTATATATAAAAGTATTTGTTATTGAAAATGATATAGTTATCGTAATTTTGGAAGATAAACATGACGATAATTCGCTTATTGTAATAACTAACTGAACAAAAAAAACCTCTTAAGAGGAGAGCTGAGTGTGCCCAAAATGTTCAGCCGGAGCGTCATCACTAAGAGAATGTCGTGGGTGGGTCTTGACCAGGCACTGAGCCCCTTGTGTACCCGGCCGGTCGCGGGTCGCCACACCTCACTCAAAAAAACGCTGGGGGAGGAAAACAACTATAAGATTTTTGCCTCCGGATTTTGTGTGGGGTTGTGAGAGGAGAGAGAGAGGGGGAGAGAATTTGGGGGACAAGGAGGTGGGGGGGAAGAGGGGGAATACACTAGCACATTGGGAGGGGCTTACGACCGCGGGTTTCGGTCAGGAAAGATCAGCAAAAATCTGAGAAAAAAGATGCCAGTTTTGTCCGGAATCTCTCTCTCTTGATCGTCCGCAGGCGTTATAAGGCCCCCAACCTCTGAGGCGAGAGGTTCATATCAAGACGTGTTTACGTTGGGGTCACACACACCCGCTACACCCGTTCCGACACCTCCACACCTTCCCTACACCTAGTGACTACACCTCGTCATCATGGTAGGTGTGCTACACTCTCCCGGTGTGTTCGTTCTCCTCTCTGATTTACAGCGTCAGTTAGTGTGGCTTTTTGTTTACGTATTATCTGGAATTATTCGACTAAAATGTTTATAGGTGTGTGTGGTAGTGCCCGCCAGGTGTGTGGGGCAGTGCCAGGCTGGTGTATGGGGTAGTGTCAGGCTGGTGTGTGGGGAAGTGCCAATCAGGTGTGTGATAGTGCCAGCCAGGTGTGTGATAGTGCCAGTCAGGTCTGTGGTACTGCCAGTCAGGTCTGTGATAGTGCCAGTCAGGTCTGTGACAGTGCCAGCCAGGTCTGTGATAGTGCCAGTCAGGTCTGTGATAGTGCCAGCCAGGTGTATGATAGTGCCAGTCAGGTCTGTGGTACTGCCAGTCAGGTCTGTGATAGTGCCAGCCAGGTCTGTGATAGTGCCAGTCAGGTCTGTGATAGTGCCAGCCAGGTGTGTGATAGTGCCAGTCAGGTCTGTGGTAGTACCAGTCAGGTCTGTGACTTGCACAGACACTCATGTCATTGTTGTCATATGTCACAGTAGTCAGCGCAGTCAAGTCACTGCCGAAAGGTCCGGAGTCAATTCTCCAAAGTCAGACTCGTTTTGCCAATGTTTCCTTTCACCTGATGCCGCTGTTCATCTACCAGTTAAGTAGGCATCCGGGAGTTAAGCAATTGTTCTGGACTTCAAGACCTGAGAAAGAATCGTATTTAGTCTTGTGAGACTTGTATTTAGTCTTGTGGGACTTGTATTTAGTCTTGTGAGACTTGTATTTAGTCTTGTGGGACTTGTATTTAGTCTTCCAAGACTTGTATTTAGTCTTGCACGACTTGTATTTAGTCTTGTGGGACTTCGATAAAAGGCTTCTTGTCCCCGACTATTGGGAATCATATGCTAAAAATCGAGGGGGGATTGTAGATAATTATAGGAAGACTTCGACACTAGGATCGGGGAAAGAAATGGCTGTTAGAGTTTAACCACCAATGAGTGTAAGGTAGTGAAGAGGGGATAAAGGAAGGAAGGTGGCTAAAAGAAACTAACCCATAAAGCAAAGATAACTACATCGCTCGCAAGGAGAACAAATCTTGGATGTGAAAATAATTCCTGCAATAACATCGAGGCACTGAGAAACATCGAGGCACTGAGAAACATCGAGGCACTGAGAAACATCGAGGTACTGAGAAACATCGAGACACTGAGAAACATCGAGACACTGAGAAACATCGAGGCACTGAGAAACATCGAGGCACTGAGAAACATCGAGGCACTGAGAAACATCGAGGCACTGAGAAACATCGAGGCACTGAGAAACATCGAGGCACTGAGAAACAGATGTCAGAAGATCTAAAGGAGCTCAATTAATCTCAATAAAGAGAAAACTACCTCCCTTTAACGACTACAGAAAACGAAATGAGAGTGGAGAGAGAGAGAGAGACAGAGAGACAGAGAGAGAGTATGTGGAAGCAAACACTGGTACTAAGGCAGAAGGTCCTGGGGGGGAGAGGAGAGAGTATGAGGGTTCGTGAGGAAGATGAGGTAGGTAAAAGCCGGTGAGGGAACAGTTGGGAAGTATTAGGGGGATTTATGGGGATTAAGACCAAGAGGGAGGGAAGATGGGGAAGTATGTGAGGGAGTGTGTGTATGGGGACATCAGGAAAGACTAGAAGATTATGAGGTGTGTGTGTGTGTGTGTGTGTGTGTGTGTGTGTGTGTGTGTGTGTGTGTGTGTGTGTGTGTGTGTGTGTGTGTGTGTGTGTGTCACAGGCACAAGTCCGACAACCGGTCTTAACAATCTAACTCGAAATGCATAATTAACTAAATATATTATTTTTATGTTATTATTATTATTATTATTTATTTATTTTATTTGCCGGTTTAACTTGCCAGTATATTTACGTTATCATAGATTTTCTTTCTGTTAATCCATTTTCTTATTTAAAAGCTTAATATGTTAAATTAGATTTTGTGTTCATAGCCTTTGTTACAATTAATCACACGTATTAGTAATATCTCTGCTTCTGCATTATGTACTATTGTTTTTTCTGAATTATTTAAGTGCTAACAATACGTTGCTGACTTTAACTACTGTTGCAGGACACACTGGACGAAGAACAGCTTTCCGGTATGTATGTATGTGACCTATTTACCCATTTACCCTATTTACTCCTTTTCCTGGCCTTACTTCTGTACTCGAGGAAGATCCTTTTCCCCCTCTCCCTATTCTTGGACCACAGTCTGTGCGTGGGGCAGTCTTCTTGTCCTATTGGGAACTGTAGTCCAAATAGTGCTCTGTCTCTCACACTAGACTGTTGGTCAGGCAGTCTTCTCCATACTAGACTGTGGGTCAGCCAGTCTTCTCCTCCACACTAGACTGTGGGTCAGGCAGTCTTCTCCATACTAGACTGTGGGTCAGGCAGTCTTCTCCTGCACACTAGACTGTGGGTCAGGCAGTCTTCTCCTCCACACTAGACTGTGGGTCAGGCCGTCTTCCCCCTCACGCAATCGTTGCTCAGTCAACTCACTATCCACGCTTGTCAATTTTTGAAGATGTAAAGCGAATGAGACATGTAAAATCCAAGGAGAATTGCAGAGAACTAACGGAAAACCTTGTGACAAACTCCAAGAATGGGAAGACTGCTAGAGTTCAACGCCTCCAAGTGCTGGAGGTATTGAACTCTGCTACACAAATACAGTTTAACCTTAATAGAGTACTACAGTTACTTAATGTACTGATGTACATAACTCCGATTCCAAGACAATATTACCGTTCAATTACCCTAATCTCGTACACTTCATAGAATCCATCCATGACTGATTAATCTGATCAGTATTCCTCTTCAATCCATTTTTTTTCCTTCCTTTGCTATGCAACCTGTAATTATGAATTGCTTTAGTCATCCTCGCAGTGAACTTTGTATTCTCTTCGGGACATCGTGAATACTGGAATTGTGATATTAGTTCAGACAATTATCTCTGAAGTGAATGATTTTATCTAGTTGTTACTAATGGATCTTTAATATACATTTTCTTGGTCCATAAACAATGTTCATCAAGCATATTCTATTTACAAGTTGACATTTTTTTCTTATAATTATACATACTCTTATAACTATAACTATACATGTATATGTTATTAACCTTTTAGCTTTGCGCCTCAATTTTGCATATATAATTATTGTTTAATTGAGATCGTACCCTGTCTCTTATCCCTTCTATGTGCTATATAGTCATTCTGGTTCAGGGTTTTCTCCTCATATTTTCTTTTACCTCGTTCTTGACGTAATCCTTATAACCTCGGAAGGCAATAACAAGAAGTCTGTCTTACAGCTCTCAAGAAGGCGTTCGACTCCTTCGACACGGACAGCAAAGGCTTCATCACCCCGGAGACCGTCGGTGTCATCCTCAGGATGATGGGCGTCAAGATCTCCGAGAAAAACCTTCAGGAGGTCATCGCTGAGACTGATGAAGACGGTGAGTCGAGGAATTGAGCTCTCCATGACAATAACACAATTGTAGGGGGGGGGTAGAAATAGCCTAAGCTACTCTATCCCTTTGAGATGTATTTATTGCTTATCTCAATAAACATACTTGAACTTGAACTTGAACACAATTGTCTAGTTAAATTGTGATTGAGGTGTGTTCGGAACACATATACTCTCTCTCTCTCTCTCTCTCTCTCTCTCTCTCTCTCTCTCTCTCTCTCTCTCTCTCTCTCTCTCTCTCTCTCTCTCTCTCTTTCTCTCTCCATTTATTTTCATTCAGGTTAAAAAACTTCGTTCCTTGAACCCCATCCCACCCCCAGTCTCGTTTTTTGGAGACTTCAAATCTCCCGACTTTGTATCTCACACTCGGCCCGCCACTCTGTCCTCAGGATCCGGTGAGCTGGAGTTCGAGGAGTTCGTAGAGTTGGCCGCCAAGTTCCTCATTGAGGAGGACGAGGAGGCCCTCAAGGCCGAGCTGAGGGAAGCCTTCCGCATCTATGACAAGGGCGGTAAGTTGCTGTGATTTTTAACCTGTTACTTGACTATTTAGGAGCAACAACACTCTTATCCCAGTTCACACTTCCTCTCACCTACTCACTCATCCTTCCACTCATCAGCCCACTCGAAATTATATTTAATTATTTTGGGTCATACATATTCTTAACCAATTATGTAATGGGTGTAAGAAAAGTTTACTTAAGTTTATCCTTTAATAAATTTTCTATTACCATGAAAAGAAGAAAATGGAAATGTTTCAATGCGTAACCTCAATAAATTTATCGCCGCTGTTCAAGGTATCAAATGGTTCTCCATTGTCGGGGACAGAAATCCTATTAGGCTTATCCAACGACACAAACTACATTCCTTACAATGTGTAGTTTTGTGATCAAATGATCGGTTAACTAGCCATTGCAACAGCTAGTTGATAAATGTTATTTGCTTTACAAAATAATAATGCTTGTACGCATGACTTTAAATCAAAGTTGTATAATAATCCATATGACCTTTGACCTTCCTCCCGCAGGTGACGGCTACATCACGACGGACGTGCTGAGGGAGATCCTGCGGGAGCTGGACAACAGGTTGACAGAGGCGGACCTGGACGGTATTATTGAGGAGGTCGACGAGGACGGCTCCGGCACCCTCGACTTTGATGGTGAGACAGACAGACAGACAGACAGACAGACAGACAGACAGACAGACAGACAGACAGACAGATATCTCACGATGAACGCAAAAATAACACCACCCAAGTCACCCTCAGACAACTCACTAGTGACTATGAGGACCAATACGTGTCTAAAACAAATCTGGCACTGCAATGTAAGGGGTCTCGTAGTACAGTGGTCTACGTGCTCAACTCCCAAATGGAGGCCCCAGGTTCGATCCCAGGGGAAGACAGACATTGTTGGACACGTTTCCTTTCAACTAATGACTCGATCTGTTCACTTAGCTGTAAAATAGTACCCGGGACTTAGGCAACTGTTGTGTTTTTTTTTTTTATCCTGGGGAGGGTCTATATATATATATATATATATATATATATATATATATATATATATATATATATATATATATATATATATATATATATATATATATACGGGATCGTTCCAGCACCCAGGACGTTGGTTCGATTTAATTTTCTGGTGCCAAGAAACTTATGCTCTGCCCACCTCTCGTAATCACGTATTTTCCCTTTCTTTTCCATTTTCTTTTTCCTGTCGAAATTTTGACATATACCTGAAGAAATAATTTACCTGAATAAACATTTATTTATTTATTTATTTATTATTTCTTTTCAGAGTTCATGGAGATGATGTCTGGTTAGAATGTCGCCAGAAAGCAGCAGTTCCGAAATTCCAGTCAGTTATGTCCTACCCCGAGATGTAGTGGTTCGGTTCCTTCAGAGGGCAAAATCCTTCCCTTCATTGAGAGGAATATTGTAGAGTCCGCTATCCTGCCTTTCTAGTGAGGGAGAGGAGGATTCCTGTAGAGACCTGTATCCTTCTCTAGTTGGAGGATTTCTGAAGAGATCTTTATCCTCCACTGGTGGGAGAATTTCCCCAAAAAGACTTCTATTGTTCTCCTCTAGTAGAGGAATTCCTGCATAAGAC